GCAAGAAATCACTCGATTTACGAATTCCGATACAAGCTTAACTTATCTCAGGCCTCTTCGTTACTGCGCAATGCTCGATTCCTTTCCAGCTTCTCAAACGTACCTAGCGAGGTTCCACGCTAAGAAACTGTTCAAGTTTCGTGATGCTCTCTTGGCAAGCTATCACCGTAACGAGGTAAACTTTAGATAAGATTTTGCCATCTCAAATTCGGCTTTGTTGCCTTTGATATTCATTATGTGAGTTGGTTTTTCTCAGGTGAAATATGCTGAAGTGACGTTGGATACGTATAGGATGATGCAGTGTTTAGAATGGGAGCCTAGTGGATCTTTTTACCAGAAGCGGCCTGTGGAAACGAAGGAGAATGGTTTTGTGGTTGATCATACTTTAACTTCTGGGCTTATAGATATGAAACTGGCTGCTGATATGGCTGATCCAACATTACCTCCTAATCCTAGGAAAGCTATTCTTTATCGTCCCACAGTATCCCACTTGCTTGCGGTGAGTTTGATGTGTATCATATTGGACTTTCTGATTTTTTTTGCCTTCTTCATATGTTGAAACTGTTTCCTGGTGATATTTGCAGGTCTTGGCAATGATTTGTGATGAGCTCTCTCCAGAGAGTGTGATGCTGATATATTTGTCAGCTTCAGGTTAGGTTTCTTTTTGTTGTCACTTGAAACTTCTAAGGTTTTTTTCTTCTTCACATGATATTGGTACGTTTATTCAGGTGGACCTGCTCGGGACAATGTTGCGCAGCCAGAGAACCCTGTCGGTTCAAGCAGAGCATCAAAAAGCAAGTTGCTTGGACGAGCATCCCAAGAACAAAAAAGTTACAGAACAGAACCTCTTAGCAATGGACAAATTAATTCTGGTGATTATTATGAGGATCATCTCTGGTTAGGTCCTAGAGGAGGCTCTGGTAAGTCGGTTTCTCTCGGATTAACATATTTATATGTCACGAAAGAGCAGACTTTTCTCACTCACTGGAATGTTTTTCTTCTTCTTTCAGGTTCAAACAACCTTTACCCTGGTGATCTAATCCCATTTACAAGGAAACCGCTCTTCTTGATCATTGATAGCGACACTAGCCGTGCATTCAAGGCAGGTTTGTCATAACTTTTAGTTTATCATTTTCTCTCACTTGAGAGTCTATTAGTTTCTCTGAGTCACTGTGATGTTTGCTGATTATAAAATAAAACAAACTCCAGGTTTTGAACGGCGCAGAGAGAGGCGAGCCTGTTGCTCTACTTCTTTCTCCTCTGAAGCCGTCATTGGAGAACCCATCTGCTGACGATGACACAGAAGCACTAAACGGAAGCCAGTTTACGTTTTTCTTAACAGCTCCTTTACAAGCGTTCTGTCAAATGCTGGGCCTCTCAAACTCAGACCCCGACCCTGTAAGCAAGCGCTTGTGATTTAGAAATTAACCTTAAACGAACCAGACATTGCTTTGCATTGCCTCTTACCATTTTTGATTCACAATCTCCAGGAAGTTTACGATGAAGCGGAGAGCATACTTTCTGCTTCCTTTTCCGAGTGGGAAACGATTCTCTTGACTTCCAGAGTCTTGAATCTCGTCTGGGCACAGATCATGCCCGATCCATTCTTGAGACGTCTGATTCTGAGGTGAGTCTTCTTCTTTTTTAGCTTACTGAATAAAAAAAACCAAACAAAGCATCATCAAATTCTCTAATGTTGTCTTGTTGTTATGTGTAGATTCATATTCTGCCGGTCTGTAATGACTTCATTCAACCGCACAGAAGATCATGACCCGTATCTACCTCAGTGCCACCCGAATCTCCCGGAGTCGGTTTCACCGTTATCTAAACCGGTGCAGTCCTCAGTACAACGACTAGCTGATCACTTTGGTGTTGCCAAATCTTTCCACTTCAACAACTCATAAAATTAGAGAAACCCCATGAGCCTCTCCATAATAGGTTGTTTATTCCATTTTTATATAGAGAAAGTCTGTATTTTTTTTAGGGTATAAAGAAAATGTAATTTGAGGATGAGGTTTTTTTATATTTTGATTTTGATGATTCTTTGGTTTTCTCCTCTTTGTAAAAGATTAGAACCAGGTAATAAATTTTTAGTCTCTTGTTAGGATTGTTTGTTTTGTGAACAAAGGAGATGAACAAATCTGTGCATTGCATAACAAAATGTGACATTGGTTTTTTTGTGATGATGAAGTTTCAACATTTGAGCTAGAACCAAGTAAGACTCAATCCTAGCCGTCAAATATCAATGGTGTCTTACTAAGATATAATCCTAGCCATTGACTCCAATTTCTAAAACGAACCGCTTGATTTTGCTGTCTTCTACTTCTACGACCTCTCGCTAGTGGAGAGGACGACGAAAAATGGAGAATTCGAGGTGAGTTTTGTTTTCGTATAATTTTCAATCGGACTTGACCTTTTGGTATTGTAGAGAATTGGATAATCCGATAGAATGTCGATTGAAAGTATATTCGGAGTGAGAATTAGGTTTTCTCTAGTCTGTATTTGCTTCTCATCATCATCCTCACCGAAAGTTTAACGATTTGGACAATTTCAATTCGATTATGATGGGATTTGATTTTGAGCTCTTAGATCTTCTGGTTTAATTCGCATATCCTCGAGAATTCTGATCCTACTTTGGTCTGTTTTTCATTTGCAGGTGGAGTTAACTCCGAGAAACCCAGAAACATCCTAAATCCACGATGTTGACATTGAAACCTTTGGTGCCTATTACATTAAAGCCTCGTTTTTTCTACAACATTCCGCAACATCGTGTCCATTTCCGCAAATCCCCATTAAAGCTCAAGACATATGCTCAAAACGACGGCAACGACTCAGCGAAGGAGTCTTCTAATGGCGGAAACAAACCGATAAGTAGCGACGATGAAAACGGTCCGAAGAAAGACGGATTCGCTGGCTTCAGTTTCAAATGGGGAGAGCTGTTGAATCCGGATCAAGACAACTTTGTGGCCATTGGATTAGCTGGAGTGTTGACTTGGGCTAGCCTTCAAGTTCTCTCACAGCTTTTCTTCATCTCTTTCGCTATCCTTGTCGCTGCTCTCAAGTATTCTTTCATCGCTGCGCTTCTCATTTTCATTCTCGTGACTCTCCTCTAGCTTTTGTAATGCTTAATGCCACAGATTGTTCAATGTAATATAGCTCTTTGATAATGGCGAGAATCAATCAGAAACTATTTCATTTGAATTTTCTTAAGCTTTTATTGGAATCCAAAACACATCTTTGTATATCAAAATCTAAAGAAGAAGAGACGACGAAGATTAAAAGAAGCTACTTTTTAGAGGATTTCTTCTTCGAGCTAAGGACGACTTCCGGTTTAGGATGCTTCTCGGCTTCACTTGGATCCAGCCATTTGAGAGGATGGCGATTGAAGAAAGGCCAATTCGGTACGGTGATCAGAGTCGTGAGGACAACTCCTCCGGCGTAAATCAACATCATCGTCCTAAACGACGCAGTTGCGTATCCAACAACGAACGATACGACGGCAGCGATCAATAGCAGGATCTGCATTAACAGCTCCGCCAATTTCTGTCCTTGCCAATCCATCTCTGAAACAACAAAAAACTGATTAGATCCTTCGAATTGAACCCAGATTATCACCGAATTCGAGCCTAATAGAACACTAATTATCAAACTAGAATCGAACAGATCGAAATCGACAGAGAATCCGTACCTGGAAAATGATGTGGATCGAACAGGTTTCTTCTCGACGGAAGTGTAGATTTGAGGAAGAAGACGACGACTCGGAAAATCGGTTAAATGCAACTAAACCGGAAAGTTTGACTAATGCACAACTAATTTAACAACACGTACGTAACGTACCCGTCGGATTCTGCAATTAATGGGCCTAATGTGTAAGCCCATGACGTCTCCGCCTAAAACTACCCTCAGAACGATTGATTTCCGCGATCCACGACGTTTCGAAATCAACCAATAGCAATCAAGTATGTTGCATTGGCGATCCTCGTCAAACCTGTAAAAGTAGATCTTGGCCGTTGATTGGTTTACAAGGAAACACATGTTGTAGTATTGCAGTACGTACGATTACATAACACGAGAAACACATTGATGAGCGATAATAACCGTCGGATCGTCGATCTGCATTACTATCGTTGCCTATAAATAAATTTCAGGCGCCGTTCACGCGAGATTAGTTTCATTAATATCTTTTTCGAGATCGGAGCATAAATTTGAATTCAGAGAAGCAAGAGAGGTTTCGAAGAAGACAAAGAGAAAGGTACGAGTTTTTCCGAATTTCTTAGTCTCTATTTTTGTTTCCTTGGAATGATTCTTCGTTTGATCTTTGAAATGCTGAAATCGTTTGGTAGTTGGAAATGGAATTAGTGCGGATTAGTTTCTATTCCTGATCATTATCGTCTTTTCGCCGATTCATGTTCTGAAATTGGATTTTAGGTTAGGAAGGAATCGTTACGCTAGATTTGTTCATCGTATTGGTAATTTGGATTGAATTTATCTGCTGGCTCTGAAGCTGTAGGCTGTGAATCAGTTTATCGGCGGTTGTTAATTAGAGTTTCGATTTCCCTCTTTGATAATTTCTTGTTGCCGCATTAATTCTTGGTGAATTTCTACGGATTCATCTGTAAACTTGCTGATTTCACGATTCATTTCGGAATTGAATGCTCACGGTCTAAGTCTTATTTTTGTAATCTTCAGATGGCTCGTACCAAGCAAACAGCTCGTAAGTCTACTGGAGGAAAGGCCCCTAGGAAGCAGCTTGCTACAAAGGTAAAGCTCTCTCACATTAGATTTGAGTCAGTGATGAACACAATTTTAGATTTTGGTATTAATTTAAACGCATGTTTCAATTTCATCAGGCTGCTCGCAAGTCTGCCCCAACCACTGGTGGAGTCAAGAAGCCCCATCGTTACCGTCCAGGAACTGTTGCTCTCCGGTATGTGATCAGTTTCCACCAAGTAAAATATAGTCTCTCTTGGGTATGTTCTTGTTTGACATTTTAGCTGACGAACTCTGTTTCTTTGATTCTTGTTTTTGGCTGACAGTGAGATCCGTAAGTACCAGAAGAGTACCGAGTTGCTTATCAGGAAGCTCCCATTCCAGAGGCTAGTCCGTGAGATTGCTCAGGATTTCAAGGTAATGTGCTTACTTTCTCTTTACTGAAAAGTTAATTGTGTGATTGTTTTTAACTTTCTTTATGTTTCTGTTTTGTTATCCTTACGCTTTTCTCTCTTATCCCTGTGATTGCAGACTGATCTGCGTTTTCAGAGCCATGCCGTGCTTGCACTCCAGGAGGCTGCAGAAGCATATCTAGTGGGTCTCTTTGAGGACACTAACCTCTGCGCCATCCATGCCAAGCGTGTGACCATCATGCCTAAAGACATTCAACTCGCTCGCAGGATCAGAGGAGAACGTGCTTAAGTGGTGTTGGGGGAAACTGTGGTGGTCGTATTATGTGAATGTGGTTTGTTCTAAATAGGGTAGATGGGATTTAGATGATGGCTTTATAAGCTTTTGGTTTTTTAGGGAGACGTCGAAAACAATGATGGTTGGTTGGTTTTATGATTTGCTGGTGTTTTGTGGTGTCTGTTGCTTCTTTGTCAATATTGAACACCTTTTTGTGTTGTTGGATTTCATTACTAAAACAATTAATATGTTGAAGTTTGACTACTTGTTTTTTTTTTGTCAATGATTCGTTTTGGTTTGCATTTTTTATCAAATCGGCTTATAGCTGCAAAATGAAAGTTTGTTTCGAACAATTAACCTAATCATCAAGTGATAACGAAATCGGTGATCCGTGTGAAACTGAAAATTTTCGATCGTAGCCGTTGGGATGGATTGAGAAAACACAAAGTGCAAATGTTATAACCGTCGGATGAGGGATTAAAGGAAGCACACGAGAGCGTATCCGTGATAAGCCCTTTCGTTGGTTTATTATAAATAACCCATTCAACGGCATTGTGGCCACAACCACAAGCTTCAATTAATCTCCTCTATTACTCTCTCTCTCTCTCTCTCTGATTGGAATACATAAGTCAGTCCAATCGAAGCGAATAGGAGGTATGATTTCGGATTGGTTTACAGTTTACTTCTTTCAATAAATTTCCTGTTACTGTCTTCGATCTGAATATCTCTCTGATTTTTTCCGACAAAAGAGTTTTGTAATTTGTCTAATTCCAGTTTGAAATTAAAAAAGACGAATGTCCCTCTCAAATTTGCTTGATCGATTGCCCTGTGTAGATCGAGTCTGGTCTTTTTGTTGGTTGGTCCACTCTTCATCTTTCGTTTGTTTCTAGCTTTGACGCCTAGTGTTGCTGATGTTTTTGTGTTCGATTGTCATCATTGCGTTTCGATGTTTTGATAATTAGGGTTTAGTGTTAATTTACCCCTTTTTGCTCTATCTGGATTGCTAACAACTCATTGTCTATAATTTCAATTTTCTTCATCAGTTTGTTATGTATAATCGAATTATATAACTTAATTAGAATCAAAATTTGGTGTTTAGGAAGAGATGGCTCGTACCAAGCAAACCGCTCGTAAGTCCACTGGAGGAAAAGCTCCGAGGAAGCAACTTGCCACTAAGGTTTGTTTCTTTTAGTCTCTTTTGTAAACCGCAAGTCTCCTTTTATCACGAAATTGAGATCCAATCGTCGTCTTCTTCTTAATTGAACACAGGCTGCTCGTAAGTCTGCGCCAACCACTGGTGGAGTCAAGAAGCCACATCGTTACCGTCCTGGAACCGTCGCTCTCCGGTTAGTCCATCTTCCATTTCCATATCATTCTTCTTCTCCATTGTCTGATTATGTTTCTTTGTAGTTAAATCTCTCTCCATCCTTTGATAATGACAGTGAAATCCGTAAGTACCAGAAGAGTACTGAGCTGCTGATCAGGAAGCTCCCATTCCAGAGGCTAGTCCGTGAGATTGCTCAAGACTTCAAGACTGATCTTCGTTTCCAGAGCCACGCTGTCTTAGCTCTCCAAGAAGCTGCAGAGGCATACCTCGTTGGTCTCTTCGAAGACACCAACCTCTGCGCCATCCACGCCAAGCGTGTCACCATCATGCCTAAAGACATCCAACTCGCTCGCCGTATCAGAGGTGAACGCGCTTGATCCAAAAACCAAGAAACCGGTCAAGCACGCAAGCAAGCAAGCTCTCTCAATTGCTTTGTTTTAGGGAAATTAATATTAGTAATCAGAATGTCTTCAATCTAAGAATATTGTGTTTTCTTCTTCCAGTTGTGTGTTTTGCAAAAACTCTTTTAACTTTTTGTTATGCTTTTAACTTCTTTATCACCAGTCTCATGGTTTCATTCTTCTCTATAACTCTATAAGTAAAAGAATGTTTATGTTTGTTGATAAAAAAAAAAAAAAAAAAAGAATGTTTATGTTTTACTGATTTATCCTTTAAACATATCCGATTTTATATTTGAGCAAAACATACAAAATTATCAGAATGAATGAATGGTGTATGATATTTCGGAAATAGTCTGATTTGATCGGCTCTCGTTAAGATCTTACCCCTGAAAAAAAGGAAGTTAATTTTCTATATTTTGACCATAAAACTTTTCTTTTTGTCAACCGCTTAAATAAATTCTTAGTCCATTTTAATCAAAAACCCAATCACCAAAAACTCTCTCTTTTTGTTTTCTCTGATAAAACATTCAATCATCGTCAAATGGGAGAAGCAGAGGAGAAACCATCCATCGACGGAGCTTCTCCGAGGTATTCGTCAAACAAAGTCGCCGACATCGACACAGAGCTTTCGAAAATGAAAGCTTCTCTCGAGAGCAGAGAGAGCGAACTCGTTTCTCTACGAGCCGCGTTATTAGAGAAAGACGTCTTGACGAAGAATCTTGAAGCCGAGATTGAGAAAAGCAGAGAGTCAGAGAAGAAGCTCCTCGCTTCGTTCGAAGAGTCAAAGTCAGAGATCGCTTCGTTAAAACAGAGGATCGACGATTCGAGCGAAGAAGAAGACGATAGCTCTGTTCAGGGAGATTTCGACATTGAGTGTATGAAGAACGAGATGGAATCGACTAAAGAGAGTCTCGCGCAGGCTCACGACGCAGCAGAAGCTTCATCTTTGAAGATCTCTGATCTGCTTGAAGAGATGAAATCGGTTAAGAGCGAGCTTAAGGCAGCGATCGACGCAGAGACGACGAGCAAGAAAGCGATGGACGATTTAGCGTTGGCGTTGACGGAGGTTGCTACTGATTCAAGCCAGACGAAAGAGAAGCTTGCGGTTGCGGAAACAGAGCTCGAAGCTGCGAGGTTGGAGTCTAATGAATGGAAGGAGAAGCACGAGGAGGCGAGGAAAGAAGCGGAATTGTTGAAGAACACGAGCGAGAGGCTAAGGATCGAAGCAGAGGAATCGCTTTTGGCGTGGAATGGGAAAGAGTCTGTGTTTGTGAGTATTATCAAGAGAGGAGAAGATGAGAAGAACTCGCTTCTTGATGAGAACAATAGGTTGCTTGAAGCTCTTGTTGCAGCTGAGAATCTGAGCAAGAAGGCGAAAGAAGAGAATCATAAGGTGAGAGACATATTGAAGCAAGCGATTAGTGAAGCGAATGTTGCGAAGGAAGCAGCGGTGGTGGCGAGAGCTGAGAATTCGAATTTGAAAGATGCCTTGTTGGACAAGGAAGAGGAGTTGGAGTTTGCGTTGAAGGAGATGGAGAGGGTTAGGGTTAACGAAGCTTTGGCTAATGAGAATGTTAAGAAGTTGAAGAAGATGTTGTCTGAGATTGAGGTGGCGATGGAGGAAGAGAAGCATAGGAGCTTGAGCAGGCAAGACTCGTTGCAGAAGGATGTGGAGGTTGTTGAGAAGAAGGTTGAGGAGAAGGAGAAGAAGGAAGAGAAGAAAGAGAAGAAGAAGAAGGAGAAGAAAGAGCATAGTAGCGAGAACATTGATAAGAAGATGATTGGGAAGACTTGTAGTTTCAGCATCATGAAGCTCGCTCACAACCACCATCACCACAGTCACAAGCACAAGGAGTCGATAGAGGAAGAGACGAAAGCGCAAGAGAGCGGGAATAACGGTGATGATAGTGTTGAAGGAAGCTCTCCGCGTTCGGATTCTTATCTCTTCAAAGGATCGATCTTTGACGTGGCGGAGACGCCACACGCGGCGGGAGCGCAGACGCATCACAAGAGGAGGTCGTCGTGTACGTTTCTGGAGGAAGTAGAGACGATTAATCCAGAGGATTTGGAGAATCTGGATGGGAATCATTTGGAGGAAGGAGAGTTGAACGACAAAGGAGCAGTGGCAGCGAGGAAGAAGAAGGCTTTTATTCGTAGGTTTGGTGATCTTTTGGTTAGGAGGAAAAGTTTGAGTTTTTCGCACAAGAAAGAGTCTTCTACTGATTCACAGGATAAGCTGCAGCAACCGCCGACGCCGACCTCACCGTGTCCGCCGCAACCGCCGATGTCTCCGGAGCCTTGAAGATAACTGTTTTGTGTGATAAGCCATTGTTGTGTTTTTTCCTTTACTATAAGATTGAGTTTGCAGGAATCGTTTTTTTTTTTATGTACCTAAACACACAGTATTGAGTTGGAGTTTTGTTTGTAATAAGGATTTGATCATTTCGTGGTTTAATGTAGAAATCACTCATCAAAAGGGAAAAGCTGTGATCAATCCGGTTTTCTGTTCTGGTTTGTCTTGGATTTTTGATTTCCCGGTTTGGATGATTTCGCTGATTAGGCCACAATTATGTAGTTTCTTCTAAGTAGGCCTTAGCCAGCCCAATTACATTAGATATGACCCGAAAATTAAAATGGGCAGAGTTGAAAAATATACACTCCTGTAAATGTGTGCATATGATAGTTTTTCGGATTCCACAATATGAAACAAAAACACATGAAGAGACATTGAACAATGTGGTTTAGGTGACAAAGTTGCAACTTACAACAGAAGAATTCGTATACATAAGAAAAGAATACCACTTTATTCGGAAATAGAAAGCGAGATTCAATTTTTGAATACACAAAAATTGAAGCAATGCTTCTTTCTTAGTTGTCAATTTCACTCTCAAAGCCTTGAGTGCGAATTCTTTTGTTGCCTTTTTCTCAACCCCTTGATATATAAAGTTGTTCCCTTTAATTAAATTTAGTGGATTTCTGGCTTTATATCTATCTTTGTGCTAGTAAATTTTGTTTGCACTGAACCAAATTACCAAGCGAATGAAATGCACATATATATGAAAAAAGTAGTAAAATCGAAAACCTACATTATTGCTTTTAATCAGAAATGCACAATTATTTTCCATTAAGGGTCTGACTGGTTTAACCGCTGCGGTTGCGGTTGCGGGAGTTTGCGGCTGCGGGAGTTTGCGGAAGCGGGAGTTTGCGATTAAAAGCTGTTTGTACGACTGGTATAGCAATTCATAGCGGTTGCGTTTGCGGGATATTTTTGACTGGTTAGCCAGCGGGTGCAAGAGCGGTTTAACCAAAAGTTACTAAAATAAAAATAATATATAATTATTCAAAACATTTATAACCATATTAATAATTTTTTTTTTGAAATATATTTTTTGATGAATTTTTAATTTGAAAACTACCCTTTTTTAAAAATACACTTTTTATATGTAAAATGATTATTCCTAATTTAATAAAAACGAAATTCAAATAAGAAATATAAAATATTAATATTTGATAATAATTTTGTATCATTTTAACATCCTAATTACCTGTTTAGTTTTTTTTAAACAATTTAATAAAAATATAAGATTGTTTATATAAAGTTTAAATGGGGTGAGATTAAAGTTGTTTATGCAAAGTTTCAAAAATATTTAAATTTTTCAAAAGATAAACATTAAAAATGAAAGATATATTTCTCCACTTTTAAATTTTTAATAATTTATAAACTTTAAATATATGTAAAGTTTTAATTTATTTAAAGTTTCATTTGGTTTGAATGTGTATGAGGTTAAGTTGTTTATATAAAGATCCAAAATATTAAAATTTGTTTCAGTTTAACATATACTATATTTATTTGAAAAAAAACTTATTAGTTTATTATTTTTTTAAATTTTCGTTTATAATTTGTAATTATTTATTATTTTTTTGTTTAAATCACGTCAAAACATACTTTTTACATTTTAAAAGTGTATTTTTCAAAACAGAAAAAATTTAGGGTATTTTCGAAATTTTTAAACATAATTATGGTATTTTTCAAAAAAATATACCCTTATTCCAAATTTGGAGATATTATGTTTTTTTTTTTTTTTTTCAAACCGCAACCGCCCGCAACCGCAAACGCTTGCGGAAAGGAGCTTTTGATTTTCAGCGATATAGAGCGGTACAGAGTGGTATAGAGCGGTTGAAAGCGGTTGTCGTGATTGTTATAAAACGCTAAGAACCGCTACGAACCGCAAACGCTGCGTTTGCGGGTGGTAGCGGGAGAACCAAATTTCTACTTGTGGTTATAGCTTTATTTTCTATTTGTGCTAATAAGTTTGACATCTTTTTCGAATGAAACCCATCCATTTACAAAGCGAACGGAATTGGAATGCATACATATGGAAAAAGTTGTATGTGAGATTCCTACCAATCAAGAAAAAAGAAAAGTATATAATTTGGGAAATCATAATCTTTCAAATGTCTTTTCAGATGTATCATAGCTTTCCAATAATAGCAACCAATGTAGGGACCATTCTCTTATCACCCAACTACTCAACGGTGATGGGCTTTTACATCACGGCCCAATCTTCACCTTCCACGTAACCGTTTTTTTTATTACGCCTAACGAACAGTCGAACACCACTTCCACTTGGCTTGTTGTGTTGTTTTTGTCAGTCGCTTTGAGCCGCCACGCGTGCGGATATTATTTGGCCACGTACTCCAAAAGTTATGGATTATTAATTTCTGCTATTCGCTTGCATCTCAAGTCGTTGACTTCTTGACCTTTTTTATATCTGTCCTTCATAAGTTCGTGTGCTATAGACTATTGCAGTCTACCTGTTAAAACAAAAATAAAATAACATATCTTAACAAATAATATACATATGAAGGATAAGTATCATTATGCTGTCTGGTGTATCGCAAGAGATCATTGAAAGGATTCGTTAAGCTTTTTGGTCAAGGGGATTTTGTATATGCACAAAATATCTGTTGAATCATCATCACGAATTTAGTATTCGACTTTTCACACATTCTATACATGCATCTATACTTACAACATTTAAAAAAACGAAAGAGAAAATAATATGGGGGACGACTATAATCGGATTTTGCTAGTTTCGATTTGATTAAAAATTAAAAGTAATGTTTAATCTGAGGAATGCAAGACGTAAAAGAGAAGGGATCATACATTCATACTTACGAAGCAACATTTTATTTGGCTTTTAACAAAAAAAAAGCATTTTATTTGGCTTGTAATTTAGCCGTTGACCAGTTAAACCGGTCGACATCTTTTAATAAGCTTACGTATTTGCCGACAAAAAAACTCATATATTTATTTATTTATGATAGACTTATTTATATGAATTTGTTGGTTTCTCGGGTTGCGGAAAAGGATCACCAATCCAAAACGTGGGCCATTATTTTCTCCGAACTGAGAAAATTAGGTATTTTTAATTTATTTGTTTATATAAAATAGGAAAGTTTGGTGGAATATTTCTTTTGAAAAGAGAGGCTAAATACTAAAAATGGCTAACGGCAATTACTCAATTAGGTGTTAACTTTTCAGGCCCTGAGCTGATGATTAACGAATAACGATGGCATAAAATAATTAATTTTACATGTATTTGATAACTAATCGTTTTTGTTTTGATGCGAAAAACGTATATTCTTTGTTGACAAAAAAGTATACTCTTTTTCAGAACGTACGAACAATAAATAACGATGAAAACATACACAACCCAATTGAACGGCTCGCAAATCACCACTTTGTTTCTGTCGTTGTTGTTCATGTACTTTTACAGAGATGCCACGTGGCTAATGGGCCTATCTTCGACGGGCCAATATTCACATGGGCCCATGACGATAAAAGCACGTCTCGCGTTGATGCTGACTGTATCGGTTCTTGCGAGTGTATAAATGTGCTTTATGCGACTGAACCAAACAAAAGCCTTGCATCTTCACTTTAATAACCATCGAAGGAATAATATAAAGAGAGGAAGCTAAAACGGCATAGTTTTAAGCAGAGACCTCCTCATACACGACAAATAGTCTCTCTTCTCTGTTTCTTTAACTTTCTCTGTTCTTTTGATCCGACCATCCATGGAGAGATACGACATCTTAAGAGATCTTGGCTCCGGTAACTTTGGAGTTGCCAAACTTGTCAGAGAGAAAGCCAACGGAGAGTTTTACGCCGTTAAATACATCGAGAGGGGACTTAAGGTTTTCTTTTTCCCTTTCTTCTCCTTCACTCAAGCTTAATAATATTTGAAACTTATCTCTGTCTCTTGACTATGTTTTTAGAGATCATACTCTTAATTCTTTGATCAGTAAATGAATTGAGGGGTTTTATACAGATTGATGAACATGTACAGAGAGAGATCATTAACCATAGAGACTTGAAGCATCCCAATATCATCAGATTCAAAGAGGTATTTATAAAAACCATAACCATGATCGAGTCTAAAATTTGGTCTAGAAAACACATAAACCAGAAAACAAAATAATTTGAGCCAAATTATGTTGATGATAGTCTAGTGGTGATTTACTATGTAAGATTTTGTCGATATGATGTTGGTCGATATTAACATAATCATTTTCTTTGACTATTTGGAAGATAAACTTAGCGTGCAAGTAGATTTAAGATATTCTGAGTTTCAACACAGGGTTAAAACTATAGATATCTGGTCATGTAATTACGTGTATTCATTTCACATGGTTAGACTTTGGACCTCTTCTTAGAGGATATATGTGTTACATTTAAAATAAAATAAAATAATATGTCCCATTCTCCAACGGTCCAATATTCGAGTTTCATATGACAGCGTATGCATAAATAGTCGTGGCGTTGAAAATTCTTAAATTACAAATTCAAGATTATATAAAACTAGAAGCAATCGGTAGGGCGTCTTGATCTTGTGGAAAATCATAATAAAAATGTGTATGTATACGTGTTTGATTTTTATTTTTTATCTATTAAATTTGCAGGTTTTTGTAACACCAACACATCTTGCCATAGTAATGGAGTATGCAGCCGGTGGTGAACTTTTTGAAAGAATTTGCAATGCCGGTAGATTCAGCGAAGACGAAGTATTACTTAATTTATCATTAGCGATAATTTGAAACTAATCTTGTGGCTAATTGTAGTGATTATTATTATTTTTCTCCTTTTTTAGGCCAGGTATTATTTCAAACAACTTATCTCTGGAGTTAGCTATTGTCACGCTATGGTACGCATTACTACATTTATTCTTATATGAATGTTATAAAAAAGGCATTCGTGTGTATATAGCATAAACTTTTTGTTACTGAATTATTTTTCTTATTGCAGCAAATATGTCACAGAGATCTTAAGCTCGAGAATACACTCTTAGACGGGAGCAAATCGTCGCAACTCAAAATATGCGATTTCGGATATTCGAAGGTACTATATAACTTTACACATTTAGTTCATCTTCGCTCATCATAAACATACTAATTCGAAAACAATTATATAATTTACTCTGAGTGGAGCAAGTACGTACGATACTTCCTTTAAAGGTGGTTCCTCATGATTCATGTTCGTGAATCAATCCTTCTTCCATTTAGTTTGTAAATAACCTTTTGTTGTAGTAACAAAATTTACATTTTTCTAAAAAAAAAAATTAATATTTGTTTTTGGTTTTGGTAAATGCAGTCATCAGTTTTACACTCTCAGCCAAAATCAACCGTGGGAACTCCGGCTTATGTTGCACCGGAGGTCTTGTCCCGGAAAGAGTATGACGGGAAGGTACGTACTACTTATTAACTTAACATTTTGATTAATTTAATAACATCAACTTGTTTATAAGAAATCATATAACTAATATAAAATATGAATTTTAATATACAGATTGCAGATGTGTGGTCGTGTGGGGTGACATTATATGTAATGTTAGTTGGTGCCTATCCCTTTGAAGATCCAGAAGATCCAAGAAACATTAGAAAAACCATTCAGGTACTAACAAATTTTTAATTGTAATCAAACGTTCATTCCACTAATTAAAGTTTTATATTGTTGTCCTATATATAATTTAAAGAATAACAATTAATAAATTGCTTACAGAGGATATTAAGTGTACATTACACCATACCGGACTACGTCAGGATTTCCTCCGACTGCAAGCATCTCTTGTCTCGTATCTTCGTCGCTGACCCTGATACGGTAATTTATTCAAACCTTATCCGGTTATGTATACGTATACCAATCCGGTTCAGACTATAACCAAGACCGTTCCACACAAATTCATTTACAATCAAAATGGTTTAGCTTTACATTAGCTAGCTATACTAGTGAAAAACTGTTAACATTGAACCGATTGAAAATTATGCTAATTATACCGGTTTTTAATTTGAAACCGCGGCAGAGAATAACTATGCCGGAAATCGAAAAGCACCCCTGGTTCTTGAAGGATCCTCTGCCGGAGTTTGCAGAGGGGAAATGCGACAGTGGAGATGAGACAGGAGTGGAAGAAGAAGAAGAAGACAACGAAGAGAAGTGTCGACAAAGTGTTGAAGAGATAGTGAAGATCATAGAAGAAGCGAGAAAGGGAGTGAATGGCACGAATAACAATGGTGGATTAGGCTTATTAGATGGCGGCAGCATGGATTTCGATGATATTGATGATGCTGACATTTATGATGATGTTGATGATGCTGATGATCACAGAAATGGTGATTTTGTATGTGCTGTGTGATTTCATATCCATCTGTAGATGCATGGACTTGTGTTTCGTGTGCATGCATGTATTTTATATGTATGTAGTAGTTTGAGTGTATCCGTTAATTTCGTGTTGCATATTTGTATAAATTAAATAAGTGGAAACAGTTAACCCCTAATAAAGTCAAAAAGTGAGACAAAGTTTTGAGTGTTTTCTTCAAAAGAGCTTTTACATCTATTAACTGTTGTATACATAAACTCATCCTTTAGAGAAAAAGTTATCGTTTTTTTGTGTGCAAATCCTTAAAATTAATATCTATTATATAGATAGTGGCTAACAAATCCAATTTGATATTCCATGATAGATGAAATTTGAGTGGCTGCTGCAATACTAATTAACAGCTACATGACATAATGTAAGTGACCGATGCTAACAACCAAAAATTAGGTTCATGACGTTACTCTTACCCTCTAGTATTTTAAATACATCATCATTTGATAAAACATTTTATTAGTAATATTTCTTATTCTTCTTCGAAAGGTTGTATAATTCTAATTATTATAAATATAAGATGATCCTTTTGTTCATCATTAGATTAGGAGGCCTTTTGATTAACGACTCTACAATTTAACCTAACCTCCCCAGGTTTCGTAGACAGCAAGTCACCCAGCTTCACCATCCCTTCCGCAAACGCATTGAAAAACTCCGTCTGATTCTCACTGAACAGTTTCACATACTCTCTTGTCTCCGGCGAAGTAAACAACGACTGATCAGAGAATAGAAACCCTCTCCTAGAGACCAAGTCTTTGAAATATCGATTATCAAACACTCTAGGAGTCGCGTCCATGCCGCTTGTAACGTTCTCATCTCCTCCACTGGGACACAGTTTGGTCAACTTCTCTCGGTAAATTGGCTCGAAAGCCGGATCGGATTTTCCTGAACCGGACTGGTTATAGAGTCTGTCCGTGACGGAGAAACATCGAGCTTCGCCTAAAGAGTGTGATCCAGATAGAGCCACCATGTCTTTTGCCGTGAGATTAAATCTCTTGAAGAGATCAATTAAGCTTGTCGCGTTTAACGTTGAACTTGGGATTATGTCGTCTGAATCCTTTTGACTTGCCGTTAAACTGTCTTTTCTTCCTAACTTCACTTCCCAGTATGGTCCACCTGTCTGGTAATAAAGATAAATAACCAACCAAGACCGTAATTAATTAATCAAATTAATCTCTCTTAACCAATTTAAAACGTTAGAGAGATTGAGGAGGAGCTTACGAGGGCAACGGCGTCACGAGAGGCCATGATGATAATGTCAGCACAAGAAACAGTGGCAGGACAAGCCTTCTCTAAAGCTTCTTTGATGTTGTCTACTACTTCAAACGATCTCAAAGAGCCTATGTTAGGGAGTGAGAGCTTCTCTCCCAACATTGTTGGTGTGTCATCGAGCAATACAGAACCATCACATCCCTACAAAACATACATTAGGTTATACGATTTTCCAGAAACTGATCTATAAAGAAATGTGGTTGATTAATGATATACGTTAACAAAGCAATCGTGAAACTGAAAACGCATAACGGAAGCAACAGATCGAGCTTCTTTCAGCATAGTCTTTCTCATCTCTTCTCTCACGATGGATTCAGCTTTAGGACATGTGTTGCCGTAGAATCCTGGCTGGAGAATATCTCCGGCCACCGCCGTGAGGAAAAGCATGCAGAGGAAAAGATTGGGAACTAGATTCATATTTTGTTTACTTTTATTCAAATTGAAAAAATATTTTTTTTTCAGGCGTAATCTCTATGTTTATATATACACAAAACATTCAGTTGTTGATTTCATTATACTGTTCCATAAACGTAGAACAAAATTTATATCATTCTTATCCGAGTGTGTAACGCCCTTATTTACTTTGACTACTATAGTCAAAGCACATCTTGGCTTTTTGTAAAGTTATTAAATTTCTTCTTAGTTTTGTGAGTTTACAATCTTATTCTTATCATTTGGCACAATAGACTTTCAAAAGTTACTATGCAAAAGTTTGCAAAAACGAAAAATAAGATCAAATTAAACTTTACATAATAAGTTCAAATTTTTTTTTTGGCACAATACTAACTCAGATTTTTTTTAAAAAGAGCTAATTTCTTAAATTTTCACATTTTTAATTCACAAACCTTCTAAAAATGAAAAAAAATCTAATATAAGCACGCGCGTGACGCGCCTAATTAAATGTTTTAACGAAATTAAAAATCTCTTACACAGTTAAACCCAAAACCCATCCGCCGCCGGCTAAAACAGAAACTCGGCGACGGAAACACCGAAAATGGGTTGGGGAAGACGACGTAAAGGTCCTTCGACGACAAATCAATCAGAAGACAGCAAAGAGAAAGTTGTTAAACCCCTCAAATCCGATGTTCCATTTGATTCCAACATCCAAACTCGCACCTATTCGAATGTTGATTTCGAGGAGTATTACAAGGTACTGTATAAGAATCAATAGCAGCTTCCATTGATCTAAAAAAGTGTGCTTTCTATACAAACAAACAACATTGCATTCGTAGGAGCAACGGATAGTGAGAACAGAGGAATGGGATTCGTTCATGGAGATTCTTCGAAAGCCATTGCCTGCTGCTTTCAGAGTTAATTCCAAGTATGTTGAGCTTATTAACAGTCTCGGGTCGTCGAATTTCAAGATAATCATTCAAAGTAGAAGTTTTGATGACTAATTTTAACTGATTCTTAGTGGCCAATTTTGCGATGAGATTCGGTCGATATTGGAGAATGATTTCGTGAAATCTCTTCAGGCTGAGGTAAATTCAGCGACTCTTTGTTTCGTTTTATAGTCTCTCATTTCTAATATACAAAAAAGGAAGAAGATATATTGTCTTCTCAAATGTTGTTCTTGCTTAGGCCATAGAGAGTGGTGAATTGGAGGCTATAAAGCCCTTGCCTTGGTACCCTAAGAAACTTGCTTGGCATTCTAACTTCTCTAGGAAGGAGATTAGAAAAAATCAGACTCTTGAGAGGTACATTTTTCAAGAATAAAAACTTCAAATTCATTGCTTTCTCCGTGTTATATAGCTCTTCTCTGTTTTGTTGGGGGTTTGATTCAGGTTTCATGAGTTTCTAAAGTTAGAAACTGAGGTTGGGAACATGACCAGGCAAGAAGCTGTTAGCATGGTACGGTACTAGACTGCTAGTGTCACACTCTTTAATCGCATTTCATCGATACTTTTTATAGTCTTTGTGGTCGGTTTTATGATCAACGCAGCTACCTCCTCTCTTCCTTGATGTGCATCCAGATCATTTTGTCCTCGACAGTAAGTGATTTCTGTTTATGCGACATTGTTTTAAATGGCAACGAACTTGAGGAGTTATAGCTAACTGCTGATTCGCTTGGTCTTGTCTTCTCTTTTGTCTGTACAGTGTGTGCTGCACCTGGTTCCAAAACATTTCAGCTTCTGGAAATAATGCATGAATCATCAGAACCAGGATCATCTCTACCTAATGGAATGGTTTGTAATTGTAATACTCTTTTTTATTTGGTGCATTAGACACATATTTATCCTTTTTTCTTCTCCTAATTGTGATTTTGGTTGAATCAGGTGGTGGCGAATGATGTTGATTACAAACGATCCAACCTTCTTATTCACCAAACGAAGAGAACCTGTACCACCAACTTGATGGTCTCTAACAACGAAGGTCAACATTTCCCTAACAAGATAGCCTTTGATCGTGTCCTATGTGATGTCCCCTGTAGTGGTGATGGTACTCTGCGCAAGGCTCCTGACATATGGCGAAGATGGTTCTTATATTTTACAACCTTCCCACAAATTGACTGATTCCACTTGCTTCAAGATTCTTACTCTTCTTCTTTGGTTCCTAAACAGGAACTCTGGGTCCGGTAATGGACTTCATAGTCTACAGGTTGTCCTTGCCATGAGAGGTAAGCTTTTGCCTCAGATGACCTGACTCCTAGAATCTCCTATGTCTTTGAATTTAAATCTGCATTGTCTGGTTTCAGGTTTATCTCTGCTAAGAGTTGGTGGGAGAATGATATACTCAACCTGCTCAATGAACCCAATTGAAAATGAAGCTGTTGTTGCTCACGTAATTTTTCTTTCTTCTTTCTTCATGAAAACATATTTATGTACTTGTGTATGCTGCTGATATATTATTACTATTCCTTCAGATTCTGAGGAGGTGTGGATGCTCTGTTGAGCTTGTAGATGTCTCAGATATGCTTCCTCAACTTATCCGCAGACCAGGTCTCAAGAAATGGAAGGTAAAACGAAAATGTCTATCACTTTGATTTGAACCATAGTAAAAACAGTAATCGAAATTTTCACTTCCTGCTTGCTTGTATCTGTGTGGATACTCAGGTGCATGATAGAGGTGGCTGGTATACATCTTACAAAGACGTTCCGAAATCGCAGAGAGACGGAGTTTTAAAAAGCATGTTTCCTTCTGGTAAAAGTGATAAAGACTATGAAGATATAGCTTCTGATGAATCAGCCGAGGAGGAAGTCTGTGATCTTCCTCTTGAACGCTGTGTGAGGATACTGCCTCATGATCAGAACACTGGAGGATTTTTCATCGCAGTCCTTCACAAAGTTTCACCTTTACCAGGTAAAATGTGAACAACTTTCTGATTCCGTGACCTCTCTAATTGATTCTCTAATAGGATTCGCCGATCATTATCTTGCAGAGATTCAGGAGAAACTAATTCAGAGAAGAAACAGAAACTCATCTGAGAAACCTCAAGAGAGTGTAGAGGAAATAGTTGTAGAAGAAGCATCTTCAGAGAATGGTTTGAAACCGCCTGAGAAGGAGAGCACCAGCAAAGAAGGCACTATAGAATTGGCTCAAGAACTTGATAATAAGCGAAAGGCGTGGAAAGGCCTTGACCCTGTTGTTTTCTTGAGAGATGAAGCAGTGATCGACGGGATCAAGACATTCTACGGCATCAGAGACGAATCATTTCCTCTGCACGGCCATCTCGTGACCAGAAACAGTGACACGAGCAGCAAAGGCAGCGTGAAGAGGATTTACTATGTGTCGAGCTCGGTTAAACATGTTCTTGAGCTTAATTCTGCGGCTGAGCACAAGATCAAGATCGCATCTGTTGGCCTGAAGATGTTTGTAAGCACACCACCACATGTTTTTTTCCATTCAAGAAATGAGAAATGTTATGAAACTAACTGATTATTGTTTGAATCGCAGGAGAAACAATCGGCAAAAGAATGTGAAGCCAATTCTTGCTCATTCCGGATAACGTCAGAAGGATTGCCAGTGATCCTTCCTCACATGACCAAGCAAATACTCTACGCAACAATGGTGGATTTCAAGAACCTCCTGCAATACAAATCGATCAAGTTCCATGATTTCGTGCTTCCAGAGTTTGGCCACAAGGCAGCAGAGCTAGCCCCGGGATCTTGCGTGGTGGTTCTCGTCGACGGTATTCAGAAGCTCGAGTCAGAAGCAGTGAGAGTGAATTCGTCAACAATAGCCATTGGTTGCTGGAAGGGAAAGGCTAGCTTAACCGTTATGGTCAATGCTGTGGATTGCCACCAACTTGTCCAGAGGCTTTCTGATAGACAAATGTCTATGAACCTCACTACTTGATCTTCCACAATCCACATGATGCCAATCTTGTTAACTTGTTAGTTATTAACTCATTACTTACTATGTGATATGTTTGAAATATTTTACAAGTGTTGTTTTTTTCCTGTTGCTTTCTTTAAGTTCGACTTATTTAAAAGTTATTAATATGAAATATTCTGTTACACTTATAGTGTCTTATCGTCAAATTTTTAAATTGTATCCTTCAGTAATTTGGTTTACAAAAGGACAAAAACTAAACAGAAAAAACTTGTCCAGTCCAACCCTAGTCCAATGAATGTGATTTATATGCTTGATTTGATTTTCCAATAAGACTTGAAGCTCTCTGTAAAAAAACAATGAGTAATAGGTGTCTAATTGCACCACTGTTTAAATGAACCAGCAAAACAAGCCAGATTCCAAAAGAATATACAAATGGACGTAGTAGCGTAGCATTTCATTCTCTCTATCACCAGCATTCAGTGGGGGAAACAAAACAAAAAATTGTGATTTATGCTTTTGTAACGACACAGAGATCAAGAAGAAGTACAACATGTGCTGGTTTTAGCTGGAACCTCCTGTCCTGAACCTGGGATGAGAATCTTCTTACCAGCCAAGGAGCCAGGGTTATTTGAGTCGCCTTCGGATGCGAGATTCTTCTTGTTCACCGTATTGAAGATCTGTGTCATTAGAGTGTTGAACGAGTTCTCCACATTGGTTGCGTTAAGCGCTGACGTCTCCAGGAAGAAGAGCCCTTCCTTCTCTGCAAACTCTTTCGCGTCTTCGGTGGGAACCGCTCTTTGGTCTTCCAGATCAGACTTGTTTCCGATCAGGATGATGACTATGTTCTTATCTGCGTGTGCTCTCAGTTCCTCTAGCCAACGTGGGATGTGGTCAAAGGTCTCGCGTTTCGTTATGTCGTAAACCAGCATCGCACCTACTGCTCCTCTGTAGTATGCGCTCGTCACCGCTCTGTATCTGCTTAGTTTGAACAAGAAACAAAATCATCAACCATCTATTGCAATGACAAAGCAGCAAGATTGATTCAATCAGCCAAGAGTCATACAATACAATGCTGAGTAGAACTCTCAATGGAGTATACAAATGACTAATCTAAACGAGTGAAGACGAACAACTCATTTTCCAATTCACCAGAAACACTTTAGCTGATTGAAACTAAGATCTACAAAGTAGGATCACATTCCAATTTGTGTGGTCAGATTACCTCAATTGTTCGATCCGATCGAATTCAAGTATACGTTAGGTAAATACAAATTCAGGATCTGGTCAAAGCGGATTCGTAAGTTCTAAATCTAGCGTAATTCCGGTGAAGCACAAAAAGGGGGAAGGAGAGAGAGAAATCTAAACACAGCTCTAGTCAAACCCAAGTCGCTTTCATGGAAAAACACAGATCCAGTTGAAATTCAGCTCAGAGATCAGTAAAATTCGAATTCAGAATCGCAGAGAAGCTAAGAAATCGTACCGTTCCTGACCGGCGGTGTCCCAGATCTGAGCCTTGACGCTCTTTTCTTCAATGACGAGCGTGCGAGTCTGGAATTCGACGCCGATTGTGGCTTTAGAGTCCATGCTGAATTCGTCTCTAGCGAATCGAGCAAGCAACTGTGATTTCCCTACAGCCGAATCGCCGATCAGAACGACCTTGAACACGTAATCCACTTTCCCCGATGCGCCGCCGCCGTATCCGGCCATCTTCTTCGTCGCAGGCGTGTGTTGTTGAGAGATCGGAAAAGTTAGAAGCGAGCTGTGCTGGCGCCTACGGATTTCTGCTCTAGCTCTTAACTGGTGAGAGCGACAGAGGAGAATTGCAGAGAAAACCCACACAAGTTGGTCAAATTGATTGATTTTAATCGTTGTGTTTACTGTGATCTAGTGTGCGAGAGTCTTTGGTAACCGATAATGAGACGAGCCACGATCACGACACGTGGGAGTCGGAGTAACTTAATATACACGTGGTCGAGCGCGATCAACAAGGCTGAGGAATTGAGTTGTGGAGAGCACCGAAACAGTATGAACAGCTGCACAGGAGATAAGATTTGGAGTAAGAGAGCGGGACCCGATAATTGATTAGTGGGTCCCCAAAGCGTCGGCGTCGGATTGTTGTTTTCTTTTTCCGTTCGCATATTCATTTCAAAAGAAAAGAGAAAAAAAAGGAAGAAAAATGGCCCATGCAGGTTTCGAACCTGCGACCTTCGCGTTATTAGCACGACGCTCTAACCAACTGAGCTAATGGGCCATTTTGATATACCCATTTCCCGACACTAGTTTTAGAAAATCTATTCATTTCGTTATTTACAAATAGTCAAAAGTTCCTACTTTGATGGGTTTAAAGTTTTTGGATATGTAAAGAGGAATTTACAGTAGTAGTCACAAGGTTTAACATTTAACTTATCTTAAAGAACAAAGACATGTTTATGCCTCCTAAAGATGTGATAAAAGACAGCAACTCACAAAACAAAGAGAAAAGAGTTTCGTTGGAATTCATAAAAAGTGTATATAAATAAACAAAAAACCGCACTCAAGACAGACGCTGAGTAACCGTTCTTCTCTTCCTGAGCCGTTCCGCAACAATGAAGGCCAGTTCAAGAGACTGAGACGCGTTGAGCCTTGGATCACAGTGTGTGTGGTAGCGAGAGCTTAGGTCATCGTAGGTCACGGTACGAGACCCTCCTATGCATTCTGTCACGTTCTGACCTGTCATCTCTAGATGGATACCTCCTGCGTGGCTTCCTTCTTGCTCGTGCACATCAAGGAACGCTCTTACTTCAGCCTGCAAAAACACATCAAGGTTCAATCGAAGGTACGTGTTATGTCCCCTGGAAGGTTTATTAGCTTATATAAAGTTTGTACCAGGATTGAGTCGAAGGCTCGTGTTTTGAGACCACAAGGTGCTTTGATGGTGTTTCCATGCATAGGATCGCAGACCCATGTCACAATCTGGCCTGACCTGCGCACTGCTCTGATCAGGTGGGGAAGCTTAACCCTCATGTTCTCTGCTCCCATTCTCACAATCACAGTGATTCTTCCAGCCTTGTTATTAGGATTCAGAATCTCGACTAGCTTCACCAGCTCATTAGGATCCATTTTGTTACTCACCTGCATCAAAGTGTTGCGGATATTCATTCAACATTCAAGCCAAATTAACTCTGCTTTTATCTACCTAATCTTTTTTAAGTGTAAGTATTGCATTTACCTTAATGCCCAGAGGATTAGCAATCCCCCTGAGGAACTCGACGTGAGCACCATCCAACTGCCGAGTACGCTCCCCGCACCACACCATGTGTGCAGAGCAATCATAGTAGAGACCGGAAGTTGAGTCCAACCTCGTGAGAGACTGTTCGTAAGGCAGAAGCAAACACTCATGGGATGTGTAGAAATCAGTTGTAGTCATTAGTGGATGATCAGTGGTAAGTCCACACGCAGACATGAACCCCAAGGCCTCGTCAACCCTGCTCGCTAGCTCCTGGTACCTGTACACAAGAAAACCTTTAGCGCCTTGCCTAGTTTTCAAAGTGATTCTCTTTCACATTATCTTCAAACAAGATGTTACCTTTCAGCTTGCTCACTTTGCTCAGCAAAGTCAAGGTTCCATTGAGTAACTCTCTGAATTGCAGCATAACCTCCTGTGGCAAAGGCTCTGAGAAGGTTTAGAGTCGCTGCAGATTGAGTGTAAGCCCGAATCATTCTGTTGGGATCAGGGGTTCTTGATTTCTCATCAAAAGTGTCGCCATTGATGTTGTCTCCCTTGTAGCTCGGTAATTTCACTCCATCCTTCTCCTCCATTGGGTCAGATCTAGGCTTTGCAAATTGACCAGCCATTCTCCCAACCTAATTCCAATATCAATATAATCTCACATTTCGTTCGACAGCCACAATTCAATCCACACTCAAAGGATAAGAAGATCTGACCTTAATCACCGGAACTTGGCCGCCGAAGGTGAGAACAATGCTCATCTGAAGGAGAACCCTGAAGGTGTCTCTGATATTGGTTGCATTGAACTCCTTGAAACTCTCGGCGCAATCTCCTCCCTGGAGAAGAAAAGCCTTGCCGACGGCAGCATCCGCCAATCTCTCTTCCAGATTCCTGGCTTCTCCGGCGAAAACAATCGGAGGGAACGCCTCAATCGTCTTGAGCACGGACTCGAGCTCGTTCGCGTCGGGGTAATCGGGAAGCTGCAGAGCCTTCTTCAATTTCCAGCTCTCCGGCGTCCATTTCAATGTACCAGACGACGACGACGCCGCCGGGGAAACGGATTCCTTAACTGAAACTGCGTTTCTAGCCGGCTCCGATGCGTGCACTGCCGTAACGAGATTGACGGACCTGAGCTTGGGTTGGAAAGTGAAGGAGGATTGACGGTTGCTCTGGCGGTGAGGTAGAGACGCGCCGCCGCTGTAGATAGATCTGGAGGAGAGAGATGTGGCGTTGGAAAGAGCCATGATTGGTTAAAGACTTTCTCTCTGTCTCTGATGAGTATTGAATTGGTTTTTTTTAGAGAGAGAATGACAAAATTGACAATGGAGGCGGTTGGTTTGAGGAGAGAGAAGAAATGCGGAAGCAGAGCAATTTATAGGGAAGCAGAGAGTATTCGGTACGGAAGGGGTTGGTTTAGACTTTTCAGAGTTAAGGGTTGTTGGAAGCCGTCTAGGGGTATTTGCGTAAATATGTTCATTTGAGATATTTTTATTACCAGATTTGAAGGCTTGAGGCTTACACACGTAAGTCGTAAGCACACCCATTAAATAAACGTTTTTCATGAGAAAAATAAAAAAGTTTCCCGATTTTTCTAGTTGATAAGTTTAACTGTGTTCAAAGTAGGAAATTTTCCAATTTGATAAAACTGACTGAATCATTCCGGATTCATGTGATATATCATATATGACACGTATATATCTCTTTTGCAGGCAGGTCATTAAAAACTCAAAGTGTGTCAACTGTGAGTTGTGTGACAAACACAAATCTATCAAAATTTGAGATGATGACAAAAACATTAAACACTTCAAAAATGGTAGCAAGATTTACTGATTCAGGAGAGAGGACAAGAAATTTGGTTAATGACATAAATATCCGTTCACCAACCAAATCCACACCACTCAGCAAGTTGCATATGTATATTGATATACGATTGTGTATAGTCTTGTTCATCGTCACCTAACTAACACACCGAATCCTTTCTAAGATATGGACTCATGGACCACGTCTTTTCGAATTTTGGCACCATCTTCAATTGATATAACTTTCTTAAGAATATACAAAGATATTTCTCAGAAAAGTGAGTATGAACTTATTTCAGTACCAAAATGTAAAGTTTTGAATGCCTTTTGAGTCTTTGACTATGTGAATTGCTAATGAACAACCTACCTTTATTTGTAGATCTTATGATTGAATATTTTTATCGACATATGAGTTTCTTCTATTCCAATTCTAAAAGAATGTTTTGATTTCTCTTTTGGCTCAATACTTCAGTCTTTGAACAAATCTAGAAAGAATACAGACAATCATCGTAGTTTTACTATTACTGTGCTAACATCTTTGATGAGCAAACAAAAAAAAAAGTTTATCCCAAAATATTACTTAACCAAGAGCCGTTTGGTATACTGTTGAAAAGTTAGTTAAAAAACCGTTAACTGCAACGAAGATTAGATTTTGGAAAATTGTAGCCACAGATTTTTAATTCTATCTCACAAAAACCCTCTCTACAACCACACACGGTGAAGAGAAGAGATTCATCAATGGCGGTTTATTGCTGCAACCACTCGGCGATGCTTCTCTCTCCATCCACCGCCGTTTCCACCTCCGTTAGCTCTTCTTCTTCTTCTTCATCGCTCATTGGCTTCCTCAGCTTCCCTCGTCTCAAAACGCTGCGTTTCAAGTCCAGAAACGCGTATCCGAAACTTAGAGGCTTTTCAGTCTCGGCATCTTCGAGGTCTCTCGAAGCTCTGATTTTCGACTGCGACGGCGTGATACTGGAATCGGAGAATCTACACCGTCAAGCTTACAACGACGCTTTCTCGCATTTCAACGTCCGATGTCCTTCTTCTCCGGCCGAGTCTGTCAATTGGAGCCTCGAGTTCTACGATAAGTTTCAGAACCTAGTCGGAGGCGGGAAACCCAAAATGCGATGGTACTTTAGAGAAAACGGATGGCCATCATCCACCGTTTTCGAGTCACCTCCGGAGAATGACGATGATCAAGCCAAGTTAGTCGATACTCTTCAGGTCACTCACTCAAATTTCTTGCAAATTTTAAAAATCTTTGATTTAATGCAATTCTGTTGTTAAAAGATGGGTGATTTTGCAGGATTGGAAAACTGAGAGGTACAAAGAAATCATAAAATCAGGAAGTGTAAGTTGAGTTTATGAATTTTCTTACAGTTAGTGATCTTTGTTAGAGAAACTATGATTTCTCTCTGTTTTTTTGCTTTCAGGTAGAAGCAAGACCTGGTGTAGTAAGACTAATGGATGAAGCAAGAGCTGCTGTAATAAGATCTCTCATTTCAAGCTTTGTTTAATACTCTCTAATTAAAAAGACTTTTACGAAAATTGCTTCTTGAAATTGCTACAGGGGAAAAAAGTAGCTGTTTGTTCTGCAGCTACAAAGAGTTCGGTTATATTATGTCTCGAGAATTTAATCGAGCTCGTGAGTTGTTCCCTTTTCTTCGCCAAAGTCTTCTAGACTGTGATTCTGTCGAATTTTTTCTTTAATCGTCGGTTATGTTAATGTCTTTAGGAGCGATTCAAAGGACTGGATTGCTTCCTCGCAGGTGTCATTTCAGCACATCCTCTGTTCTGAGTTTTAGTCTTTATGTGTAGTCTAAAAGTTTCAATGCATTTGTTTGTGTATATGTTGGCTTTGCAGGTGATGATGTCAAGGAGAAAAAACCTGATCCTTCCATATATATAACAGCTGCAGAGGTAATTCAATTAATCCATAGAAAACGAAAATTTATAAAAACTAGACAAGAATTATAAACCAAGTTTAACATTCTGAATGCAGAAGCTAGGTGTTTCAGTGAAAGACTGTTTGGTCATAGAGGACAGTGTCATTGGCCTCCAGGTATATATATATCTAATCATTTGCTCGTCTTCGGCTCTTCGCTACGGTTCTTCATACAAAATCATAAAAATGGCTTTTGAATTTCAATCTTTTAGGCAGCTACAAAAGCAGGGATGTCATGTGTCATCACGTACACTTCTTCAACCTCTGATCAGGTCTGCTCTTCTACTTCTTCTCTAGACTCTATTCATCTTTTTCTTGGGTTTTAGAAAAGTCGAAAACTTGGGTGTTCTTTCAGGATTTCAAAGACGCGATCGCTGTGTACCCTGATCTCAATAATGTGAAGTAAGTAGGATCGTACATCAAACTTGAAGTTTGCAAATTATTTTCTCCTTACGTCGTAGCTAACGTCGCATGGTGTTTTGTCAGATTGAAAGACTTGGAAACTCTGCTTCAGACCATTGTCACTGCAGCTTAAGACTTTTGTCTCCTTTTCATTTCTGTCCGTTCTTCAACAACATCTGTACATTTGCTTTTGTTTCTTTCATAAATTTTCATTAACTGAAAAAAAAGAGAGAGATTCAAATATAAAAATAGCAGTACTACAAACAAGACCTAGCCTGAATCCTGATAAATCCACAAAACCTGATTTCAAAGTAAATATAAAAAAACAAAATTACAGAGGAAACACCAAAGAAAGAGTTTCTCCAATTTTCCTCTCACCTAATAATGCTTCCTTCTTCCTCTCTGCTTATCAGAGGATGATGACGAATCTATATAACACCACAAATTTCACTTTCACTGCTGTTGTGCATTGTTTTATCTCCTGCTATTAGCTACCTTGTTCTTGCTCATATCAGCAAGTTCCTCAACAAGTACCTTCTCCTCTTTACTCAACCTCTTTGGAATCTCAACCTGCACTCTCACCAACTGATCACCTCTCATCTTACTCTTATTCAAAACCGGAACTCCCTTCTTCGCCATCACCAGCGTCGTGCTCGGCTGTGTCCCCGCCGGTACTTTCAAATCCACCATCCCATCAACAGTCGGAACCTTCAAAGTCGTCCCCAAGATCGCATCCACATACGATATCTTGCAAGTGTAGAGTATGTTCGTATCATCCCGCTTCAAGATCGGATCAGGAATCACCTCAATAACAGCGAACAGATCTCCAGATGATCCTCCTCTCTTCCCTGCATTCCCTTCTCCTCTCACTCTCAACCTGCTACCGGAATCCACACCAGCAGGAACCTTAAGACTGATCCGTTTCGTCCTTCTCAAGCGTCCGTCTCCTGAGCAAGCACTGCATGGTTTTGAAATCTCTCCTGTGCCGTTACAGGGAGAGCAAGTCATGACTTGTTGGAATACGCCGAGTGGTGTCCTCGTCGATGCTACCACCTGTCCTTGACCACCGCAGGTTTTGCATTTGGTAGGTTTGGTTCCTGCTTTTGCACCTGAGCCATTGCAAGTCCCGCAGCTCTCTAGACGAGATATCTCAATCTCTTTCTCGATACCGAAAACAGCTTCTTTGAAATCCAAGATTAGAGAGTAATACTCGTCTTCACCGTCCATAGCTCTGCTTCTTGAACCTCTACTGTTACCCATTCCACCTCCCATTCCTCCCATTCCTTCGAATAGTGACTCAAACAGATCAAACGGATTGCTGTAATCCTACAAAATCAGCAAGTTTAAAGATCAGATTCTGATAATGAGAATGTTGATTCAAATGTCTTAGAGAGAAGAGTATGTATATACCCCCATGCCTCCCATTCCAGCGCCTTTAACTCCTGCCTCGCCATATCTGTCGTATAGAGATCTTTTCTCATCATCTGATAAGATCTGCAAGAAAGAAAAGAAAGAGACAAATTTTAGGCTCTTGAAGAAATCAGCAGAATCATCTGAAAGCATTGGAAGAAGAAGAAGATGGACTTTCACCTCATAAGCATTACTAATTTCTTTGAATTTATCTTCTGCACCAGCATCCCTGTAACCAAAGTGTAAACAGAACGTTTAATACTATTACAAGCAGTTTCAGGGTTCTTCATTCTTCTTAAGTCTATGTTGCCATTTATGGGGAAGCTTAAGCCAAGAGTAGCTTAACTAAGTGAAGTTTTGTCACTTACTTGTTCACGTCCGGATGGTAACTCCTAGCTAGCTTCCGATAAGCTGAAAATAAGTGCAGAGGCAAACAAATTTTCCATGTCAAAGCATTCGAAAGTGAAGCACAAATGGAATCCTCAATGAGAGCTAAACACACATCAAAAGTCATACCGCTTTTAATCTCAGCTTTGGTTGAGTTTTTCGAGACACCAAGGACAGAATAGAAATCCTGGCAATTGAAAACAAACATTCTTTAGCAACCAAAGAAAGAACCATACTTGACCATCATCAGCTCTAATAAACATAAAGAGCCATCATTCATAAGTAAACATACAGTATCAGCTCTAACAGTGACCAATGGAGAAGCAGCAAAACAATTAGAACTCAAAAATTGATAAACTTATGATCAGTTATGATAAGTAAACATACAGTATCAGCTCTAACAGTGAAGCGAGCTCCTCTACGAGAATGTGTATTCCGGGATTGTCCTGGCAGGGACAAGAAGGGCAAGGAGCCATTTGAGAACATACTCGACCTTGAAGCTCCCAAACAATTGATTTGGCTGAAGGAACTGTAGTAAAAAAAGTTATCAATCAAAAGAAGAACAATTTCGATTAGCCTTTCAGATACATATCTAACAAATCAAAATTTCTTGGTCAAAAGTGAATTCGTTACTTGTTGTCTTGGTGAGATTCCAATCTGCTTGGATAATAAGAAGCTTTTACTGCAAACTGAGGACGAAGAATCCCCCATTGAGCAACACTTGAGCTTCCAAATTGTATAAGCGCCATTTCACTCCCTGCAAACACAAACAAGAATCCGGATTTCTTCAACAAACACACAACGAAAGTTTCAAAATTATGCAATTTCATTTCGACCCGACGGAAAAGAGTTTCACTTTCATCCTCTAAATCTAAAAGGACAAAGCTTTCTGAATCAATTCGACGGAAATTTGCTTTAAAACAAGAGCTTGGTGCCGCAAAATTTGTATCTTTCGCTATTCAGCCCAAGTGAATTTTTTTAATAAAGACGACATTTTCAGGATGATTTCAATCGAACAATAGAGAGAAAACGGCGAAGGAGAGAGAGGAAGGAGGAGAAGCTGAATCTTTACCGTAATCGAATGGTGGTGACGACGACGGGAGAGGAAGGCGCAGAAGAAGAAGAAGAAGAGAGAGTTTGTGCAATAGATAAGAAAACGAGTAGACTCTATTGAATTGAAAGACTCCTCACACTCCCAACTTTTTTTGTTGATGCCCTTCTCTTTTCATTTCAAAACATTATTAATTTGGTTTTTGTTTCTCTTTATTATTGTTTATTACAGATTAACCCCACACTGCAGAGGTTGGTCACCGGTTTTATTACGAAAAATATCAACTAAATCGGTTTACTTAAGATATCCAAAATTGATAAAATTACAAAAAAAAATATATAACTAGACAGGCTTCATAACCTTAGAAACCTCTTATAAGTTTCAAATCAAAGCATATAAGATTATATACTTTCTTGAGATAAAGGTATTCTTAATTCCAACAAGAAGCAATGTCTTTAAGTCTTAACAGTAATATAAATATATATATATAATAAACATTTGGTGACAAGCTAAAACATGTTTAGTTATTGCCTACACAGTAAACATCTTAAGCTAGCTAGCATGAGCAATCTTAGCATCATTACTATTAGCATTTGGAGGAATCGTTTCGTCTGTGAAAAGATAAGACTTCATGTATTTGCACATCTCCCTTGGTCTCTCTTCATTAACCGCATGTCCTGTCTTCTTCAGCAGCACTAGTTCTGCTCTGTCTTCCCCTAAGTATCTGACAAACAAAAACTCGCATTAATACGTCATTAACCCAAGTGAGAAAATGATTAGGGACATGAGATAAATGAACAAACCTTTGCAATCTATATGCCAATTCCACTGGAAAAACTTGGTCTTCCTCTCCCCATATCATCAATGTAGGCTACAAATGAGAACATGAAGAGATTCAGGAGACAAATTAGATCAAGATTCAAACAAGTATCATTATGAACATATATAGAGAGAGACCTGTGTTATCTTTGGAAGATTTTCGAATCTCCTACCCTTGTGTAAAGTTTCCACAAGTTCTCTCCTTTCTTGAAGATAATCTCCGCACATCACCTTGTAAACAAAATTCTCACACATCAGCTTGCAAAACCCTTTTTGAACCAATCAGACAAAAGAAAGCTACTACTATTGGTCTTGTGAACATCAAAGATTTTTGAAGCTAAACCAATACCATAATACATTTCCTTGGAAACTCAAAAGTATGAAGACCAAACAGAACACTAAACTTACATGAATGTAGTCCTTGGCAAAGCAAGAAGGGATCCAAATGGGAGGCCTGTAGAAAGTTAGCTGGAGAAGTCGCCGGAGCATGGACGGAGTCTGAGGGAACAGAACTTCCGCCGCCTCCTCCGTGTTATTCACTTGAAACATCCCTTCCTCCATGTCTTTCTCCTCCAGAGCAACACCGGCGGATATTAGCACAACCCGATCAACCCTCTCCTTAAACTGCGCCGCCATGGAGTAGGCCACGAATCCGCCGTAGCTGAGACCGGCCACTGTCATGGTCTGGACGCCGTGGCCGTCCATCGCCTTCATGACGCAACTCGCCTGGAACGACTCGGACCGGTCGAGGCGAGTCGTGTGCGAGTCGCCGAAGAAGATGAGGTCGGGGACGTAGACGTTGAAGCGGGGGATGAATTTGTCGATGAACTTGTTCCACTGCCACATGGCGTTAGCTCCGATGCCGTGGAGAAGGAGGAGAGTGGGCTTGGAGTCGAGGTGGGTCTGTGGGACCCAGCAGTGGACGACGGTGCCCTCGCCGAGATCGGAGGTGGATGATCGGAGACCGGCGCGAGAGAAGCTGTGTTGGTAACATTTGTTACGAGAGGAAACGTAGCTGAAGCAACTCGCCATTGATTCACACTTCTTCTCTCTGTTGTGAGAGTTGCAAGAGAGAAAGAGACAGACAGAATCTCGAAGATGAAGTAGAAAAGAGAGAAAGGAAGTGATTAATAAATAGATTAAAATAATTGATAGCGATGACGTGACATATTTTGATTCGCCAAAATGTCACTTTATTGAAGAACGTCCCGTTTCTGACTTTAAATTTTTATTTTTTTATGTGATTGAGGAAAATTTAAATTTTTAATAGAATAAGGTATTTTTGTTTGTAAGTGAATGCAAGCAAATATTTTTCTTTTTTAATTGTCATGAAATGCAAGCAAATTTATGAGATTAGGGGATGTTATTCAATTTAAAATTTTAAATCAATTCTCTATATTTTAAAATCTTATAGATTTTAGAATTTAATATTTTTTTTAAGAATCCATGAGTGTGAATTCTAAAAATTACAATTTAGAGATCCAATAAATATTTTATAGCAAGCATTAACTGAATTACACTAGATTATATTTGGATTTAAATTCTGTTCCATTTTAAAAAAAGGTGTCTGGTCCCTTTTCCATATATTTACGTGATTAATTCATTTTCCAAAGCAGTCGGTATCTCAGTGTAACAACAAAACAAAGTTGTCGTGGTCGGCTCGTAATTTCAATATGTTGGTCACAATTAGGAATATGCGTGCAGATATTTTTTGGAAATTAACGTACGTCTGGTACTAAAGTCCAACAAACCTATACTTGCCCTCAAACGGAGATAATATTTCTTTTTTTATAACACAAGCATGAAGCATTATGCACTTCTAGTAGTAGTAGTAGTCCAAATATTATGAGAATTGGTAGAACAATTCACTTCCAAGATTGTTGTGAAAGCCTTAAGATTTTTGTTTGGTATAGTTTCATTTTAGTGGTCAGCTTTTATTTGCAAGTAACTAAATATAGTTCATTTGGTTTGAACTTATTGGCAAACCGTACTCTGTGGCACAAAATGTTTCTTCGTCGACCTGAGGTCTATTATTAGGTCACGTTTGTGTTCTGACTTTTGCAAGGAGACTATAAATAACCACACTTTTTTTTCTTTCTGTAACTAATAAATACCTTCTTGAATTCATATTTACTCTAGTATATAAGTTAAATCCAAAGGAAAATGAAGTATCTAATAGTTTTTCTGTTAATGACCACTTGGTGTTTTAAGTTAAACGAAGGTGCTTGCTATCGAAACACTTTAACTATTCAAAACCAGCTCGGTCCTGGTCGTACTCTCAAAGTGAATTGCTGGTCCAAAGACCATAATATAAGCGTACAATATGTGGAATTTGAGAAAACTCCATTTACAGTTAGATTTTACGAGAGCCATGCCTCAAGAACAATATGGCGTTGTAGCCTGTGGCATGGACTTTACTATGCTTACTCTGCTTTGAACTTTAGAGCATACAGAGGAGCCAATACAGTTCGATGTGCTCAGGTACGCTTCTATAATGCCAAACTTGACGGTATCTACTTGATCAAAAATTCGGAGCCAGAGAAGTACAAGTACTTTTGGGTTAAAACTAAAACTCCCTAATTTCATCATTTTCGTTAAAACTACTTATAATGTGTATGATTATTGAATCTTTCGATTTTGGTGGTTACAACATACAAGATTTCTATGTGTATTGTGTATGAATCTTTAGAAATTACAACATCTTTTTTTCAATACCGCTTTTTTTTTTAAATGTCTACATCTATAGTAAGAAGAAAATAGATTCCACCATGGATGCAATGCAATTAGAGGAATCAAATGCATTTGTCTTAAAGATGACTTTAGACTAGACTATGTCCAGCTTTCTTCTCAACTCCACTTTCTCTCATCATCTCTCGTGCCCTTTCCGCGTCTTCCCACTTACCCGCGGCGCTATACATGTTGGCAAGCATCACGTAGTACCCATCGTTCTGCGGATCGCTAGCAACCGCTCGCTCTGCCATTCGTATTCCCATCTCAAACTCCTCATGAGTCACGCACGAGCTCAACAATGTTCCCCATATAACTCCGTCTGGTGAGAACGGCATTGACGTGACTACGGTTTCAGCTTCTTGCAAGTTACCTGACCGGGAAAGAAGATCCACGAGGCAAGAGTAATGCTTTAGGTTTGGTTTGACCTCGTACTCATGCGTCATCTTGAGGAGAAGGTTTTTGCCCTGTTCCACTAAACCAGCGTGCGTGCAAGCTGATAGAAGAGCGAGAAATGTAGCTCCGGTTGGTTTCACATCAGACTCTTCCATCTGATCAAAAAGCTCTATAGCCGATTCAACATCTCCGTGCATTCCATAGCCTGAGATCATCACATTCCAGCAAACGGTGTCCTTTTGATCTGCAGCGTTAAACAGCTCTCGTGACTTTTCAAGCTGTCCACATTTGGCGTACATGTCGATAAGAGCAGTTGTAAGAGAAAGATTCATCTCGTGCTCTGTTTCAGTTACGTACCGATGAATCATTTGCCCTCTCTCCAGAGCTCCAGTGTTGGCACAAGCCATAAGCACAGTCACCAGAGTTATCGAGCTGGGTTTGATGTTCTTCTCAGAGATCATTCTATCGAACAACGCAGTGGCTTTTTCCGGTTGCTCGCAATGAACATAAGAAGCAATCATTGCGTTCCAAGTGACAATGTTGTTCTTATCTGCTTCACAGAAAATCCTCCAAGCAACACTCAAATCTCCCATCTTTCCATACAAATCAATCAGGGAATTGACCACTGAAGTGGTGAGATCGAAGCTAGTTTTCACAACATAGCAATGCAAAGACTTCCCCAGTAGTACCGCTCCTATGTGGGAACATGAAGATATGACAGAGGCCAAGCTAGCAGAGTCAATCTCAATTCCAAGATTATGAATCTTCTTGAACAACTCGATACACTTTACATCACATTTCATTTTACCGTAGCCTTTAACCATTATATTCCAAGCTTCTTTGCTACCATCTTCACGTATCCTACAGAAAAGCTTCTCAGCCACTGAAAGAAGCTCGAATTTGCAGTACATCGACAACAACGAATTGCAAACTGTACCGTCTAAAGAAAAACAATGCCTTATGACGAACCCATGAAAGGCTTTACCTTGAGCGACAAGCATCATCTTACCTAGCTCATTAATCAAACAACTAATCACAACCCCATCTGGCTTTATTCCCTTCTTCTGCATTTCCCAAAACATATCAAAACTTTGCTCCATCTTCCCTGATCTCGCCAGTGAAGCTATAATCGATGTCCATGAATACATATCTTCTTCATCACCAAGCTCACGGAAAGAGAGATAAGCCTCAGCTGGATTCCCACATTTCGAATACAATGAAAACACCGAAGACTGAAAAATCTTGGAAGAAGAAGCTAAACCAAACTTCACCGCAAATCCATGAATACACCTTCCTTCCTTCAAAGCTCCTAGATTTGCACAAGCTTGGAATCCACATTCCAGTGTTCTCGGATTCGGCTTCTCATCATCAGAACCAACGCTATGCATCTTGCAGAGATACTCCAAACCTCTCTCTCTCTCTCCGTTCTGCACATGCCCAGAGATAACAGCAGTCCAAGCAACCACATCTCTCTCAGGCATTTCGTCGAACACTTTACACGCATCTTCCAAATTCCCACACTTTGAGTAAAAATAAACAAAGGAAGATCCCACTGCACAGTTTCGCTCAAAGCCTCCGTCTTTCAATACCAATCCGTGAACGAAAGTGCCAACATCATACCACGAAAGCTCTGCGCAAGCTGAAACAACCATCGGAGCAGTGAAATGATCAGGGGATTGCCCAGAGAGCAGCATCGAGAAGAAGAAACCCAACGCTCGAGAGTAATCTCCATTGGAGAAATGTGCTTTGATGATTGAATTCCATAGAAACACATCTCTTCCACTAACCAAATCGAAGACTCTGGAAGACAAATTGGGTTTCTTGAAGGAAGCGTAAGATGAAATTAGCTTCGACGCCACGAAGATATTCTCGGAGTTTCCTCCGGTGATGATAAGCGCGTTGTGTTTACGCAGAGACTCTAAGCTCGAAACCTGATCACAGAGAATACGATCGATGTAGCTTGAACAAGAAGAAGAAGAAGAGATTGTTCCTAGAGTAACAAATCTGGGTTTCAAGAGACGGACTCGTTTCAAAATAAGCATTGCATTATTCTATTGGGCCTTTTTTGAAATAGTGATCATGCTATTTATACTCATTCAATTTAAATAACAATTGTTGTATTTTATTTAATCGGCGTTAGAAACAGCTAAAAAAACTAAAAAGATTTGTTATCAAATAAATACATTAATCGGATATTCTTATTATTATTACAAAAGAACAAATTTCAGGTAAAGAAGACACAATACAAGTGTCCTCAAAAGAACCAAAAACCAAACTCAAAAGTTTGTTCACATTTTTGACCAATTATCTTTTGGTAACCGGCAAGTGACCAAACTTTAGTGGTTTATACAAGTGCATGAAATTAAATATATATACGCCGCCGTTTCACTTCACCGTCGGGTAAAGATGCTCCGGCAATCTAAGCTCACCAACCATGACCAACGGTTTAGCTAAAAACATATCGTGACTAGACTCCATCAGCTCAACACGTCTCTGATTCTCCGGTAGCTTCCAAGTGAAGCCTTGAAGAAGTCTCGCGAGCAACATCGTCGTCAACGCCGAGCCTAAAGCCGGAGCAGCACAGCCTCTTTTACCGGTACTAAACGAGATAAACCGGAGATCGTTCTCTATCAATGTAACTTCGGAGCATTCGTTGAGATGTCTCTCCGGTTTGAAGCTAAGTGGGTCGCTCCACACTTTCGGGTTACGGCCAAGCCCGTATCGACTGAGAAGGACTTGACTTCCTTTGGGGATGTGGTATCCGGCGACGGTTGTGTCGGAAAGTGCCACGTGTGGGAGGTTAAAGGCGGCAACGGGATGGAGACGGAAAGCTTCACGGAGGATAGCTTTGACGTAGTTTAGTTTCGGGATGTCCGATTCTTGGACGAGTCTTTCTTTGCCGACGACTCTGTCGATCTCTTCCATTGCTTTACGGAGAATCTCCGGTTTGTTCACCATCTCCGCCATGGCCCACTCGACGGCGTTTGATGGATTGTCTGGCGCAGCCATTACAAGTTCCTATTGATCATAATGAAACAAGTTTTTTTCATTAATTATATTACGGACAAAAATAATAATACCAACAACCCATTAAATATTACAAGTTGCATATATATACCAATGACCCCTCAATTAGTTCCCCAAACATTAAATTTTTGTGTTTTTTTTTGCTAACAAATATGGATATATATAAATTTTGTATGAAATAATGTTTTTTTAGCAAGATTTAACGAAAACTATTCTTTGAAAAATTTAGTAACAAAACTTTTCCTGTAATGTTATTTTATATGAAGGGATGTGATTATTACCTTAATGGTGGGTTTGATTTCATCGGCGGTAAGTAACGGGTTGCCTTCTTCATCCTTGATCGATATGAAAATATCAAGAAAATCTTCAATTTGAGTTCTCTTTCCTTCTCTCCACATCTTGATCCTCTCGTCAATGATCGGGTTATGATACTTATCCATAATCGCACTTGAATCTCTCATGATCTTCTCGTGACCGTTAAGATCAAGTCCAGTGAGCATCGGTAGATAGTCAGAGATACAAAAAGCGAAGGTAAAACCTAATGCCTCAAACATAGCTTCCATATGCTCGATATCCTCTTTGGTCGGTCCACCGTCTGGTGCAGTGTTTTGAGAGAACGTTCTTGTCCCGAACATGAGCTTCTTGATAGCATTTCCACAGTAATGCCTAGTCATGAACCGGAAATCGACCGAGCCAGAGTTCTTAACCACGTTGTACATCCAAGCGGTTAAATGATCGTTTTCTTCTATCCTCTTCTGGTGAAGCCACCTGTGTCTCGCCGGACAAACAAGCTCCGTCATCACGACTTTCCTCATTTTCTTGAATTGGTCACCGAACGGGGTGATGACGCATGTTTTGTATCCGTTGGAGAGGATCTTCTGTGCGTAAGTCATAGGTCTTGACGCGAAGAGAGCGTCTTGCTGCTTGAGTATCTCACGTGCTATCTTAGGGCATGTGACGGTGATCACGTGAGTGTTTCCTAGCCTCACGCAGGCTATCTCGGTGTTGAGCTGCTTCATGATGCTGTGGAGCCAACGGAAAACGGGACGGCTCTTTAGCATCGCTGGAATCATTCCGATGATCGGCCATCCGGTGGGACCCGGAGGGAGAGAGGCTTTCTTTTTGTCGGGATTAGTGATCATTTTCTTGAGGAGCATCACTAAGGTTATAGCCAGAAAGGCTTGGAGCGTTGTGAGGAGATACGTATTGCTGAACGAGGACGTTTCCATTGTAGTGGAAGTGAGATCCGAAGAGTTTGAGGTGAAAGTGTTCATGTCTTGGTCTTCTTTAATTTGTGTAGAGAACCGAAAGAGAGACGAAAGAAGAATTGAATCAGACTTAATTTGTTGTGTTTATTGTTTTCTCTGCATGGATAAGAATCATCCTCACCTTCCTATTTATACAAGAAAATTCTTGCATCTGGTTTCTGTGAAATGACCATAGTGTCCTTGTGTGTTTGCTTGACTAAACTAACTAATAAGGAAGGAGTGAGGAAAATGTGTGGGACGTGACACGGGTCCATGTTGAGTACTACCACCATTGTTGAACAACGAACACTATTACCATTCTTAGGGTTCAAAGTATCAAATATTTTTAAAAGGTATTATTATATTAGATTGTTGGCCCTGCACGGTGTGTCATCCAATTTTCCTTTACATGATTGTGATAATACTAAACCGTCTTATCGTTGTTAAGAGTACGAAGATATTTACTTTTCGAAGAAGGATGAATATCCACAGTATAACATATGTTGTTATTTGTTGTTTTGTAAAGAATCACAAGTCATTACTAACTAATTATCTACAATATTAGTAAAGTTATGTATGATATCTAGATTGATTTAATAGGAAATTTTTCTGATTTTTGCATAAGATCTAGGAATGTTATCTTGAATTTAAAATTTATGATATTATCACGAATATATTATTAAAATTAATAAAACTGGTCTGAAAATTAATTAGTTTTGCCACAATGTTATCTTTTAATTTTATCTTTTTTGTGTTGGTGAGCTTCCAAAGTTTGTCATGCTGTATATGCACTTATCGTCCAGCCAAAGTTAACCTCGAGTGAATTATTAGTCTTTGCAAGCTACTCTCAACGCCATCCAAATTACAAGAGACAAGCAAAGATTTACGTCGACGGACTAAAATCGTTGAATGTATTATAGTTAGATCCTATAGTCGCATAATGCATTCATTTGTTAATGCCTGTTAATCATTTACAGTATATATATCAAAATACGATAAACTGCCGTTGTTTAAAAATGGCGGCATAATATTGATTAACAAATATAATAATAAAAACCTTTATCGAGGGGAATTGTTTTTTGGTAGAGCTCACCTGCCAAAATCCCTCGTGGAAATTGGAATTGAAGAGTCAAAGTTGTTACTCTAGTTAGTCAATACAATTCGTGATCTGCAGACCCCACAAGTGGTTTCCATGTTCCGACGCCGTTTAAAGGTCCACTGTTGCCAATGTGGCCATGTGAGAGAGACCACACCCAAGTGTTCTATCAATTCCCTTTTTTCGGATGGTAGTAGAAAAAGGAGAACAAGTAAATATTTTACATTATATGATAATTATATCACTTTAGTAACCTACCAAGTTTTTAAGACAGTACACGTGGTCTATGATAATAATACTCAACTGTTTTTTTATGTCTGATCTGTTAACCTTCACTACTTGCTTAAGGAAATGGGAATGTAACATGCATGACAAGGAGTGGAAACTCTACTTGTACTGTACACCACACCTTTTCGATGATATTTTCCTTTTAACAAATATAAAAACTATCAAATGATGTTTCCAAGCATCTGAAGATGTAACTTTTTGAAATTTGTTGAATAACCAAATTAATTATCTAGGAGAGACCAATTCAATAAAATTCAAAGAGGCATGTAGTTGGTCGACATGTTCAATATATTGATTCAATGCTCTATTAAACAAAACAAAAAATGTAGATCTTCATAAATATTTTGTTTATCTTAGCATATCTGACTTTTAGTCAATTCCGGCATTCAGAGCTAAATTATTGTGGACTTTTCATAAGATATATGTATCAAATTATGGAAAAAATATCCAATGCTTTGCTTAGTACTCTCGAGCGTGACCACTTGACGACATGTTTTGTTGTTTTCTACAATTTTTTAGTCCAACTTAAAGACGTACGAATTGTTGTCGTTGGAACTTGGAAGCTAAGTATCCGAGCATGAATTTTCTAGGGTTTGATTTCTCTTAAGTTATTTCCATAGATAACTATTCTGGATTATATTATAACTTACAGTCCAATACTCAACCGTAGTTAATTTCTCATACATATGGTTATTGATATGATTATATGTTATCATAGTGATGGGCAAATGGTTAAGCAACCGAAACTGAGGCTTTGAAAAAACAATCGTAGACTAAGATACAGCTATGCTCTTGATTGAATTCGCTTTCGAACGTGTTTGTCAATTATTCTAATGAGCTGATTCTAAGATGTAGGGGCATCTCCATGTCGACGCGAGTTCCTCTCTGTGTATAACTGTACATGCATGCAGTCAATTACTTAAAACTTGCTCCATCCACCAAATCTCACCTGTCAAGTGCACATGTAGCAACATGCATGCTTAGTTTCAAAAGTTCTGATATCGACTGTTCTTAAACTGGGCTTCATGCGTATTTAGTGATTTAGAACTGGAAACCATCCTCTCCCCATACATATCTCCATTTATTTGAATGTTTTGAGCCCATATATATAAAAAACAGTACCAACTTAATCATTCTGTAATAAGTCACTGATGAGACATTTGAGATCATATCATATATATTCATTCACAAAACGGGCCGGGACTTTTCCACACCAGTGAGCTAACACATAGTTCATGCGTAAACTGTAAAGTATTACGCTTTTCTTGTGGATTATCACAGTTTAATCAGAGATTTGAGACAAATTAAGTACAACAAACTCCATTTTATTTATACAAGGTATACAACATAGTCGAAAACATTGGAGCAAAAGCAACTCTTTATTAACTATATGCTATTTCGAAAAAGAAACAAAAAATATCTTCCCTTCCTCTCAGGCTTCGGAGTTTAACACAATTCAAGAACAAATGATAGTATGATGAAGCGAGACGACGTCGTAGCAGGTCTCAAGCTTCTCAGGGAACCAGAGAGACGAAGAGAAAGAGAACAATAATATAAAATCTGATTAGAATCGACAAGTTTGGGGGTTTTTGTGTTTGATTTGACTTAGCCCTCAAGGTAACCTTTGCTTTGCAGGTAAGAGATGATGTTCTCAGCCATCTGTCGTGGCGAACAAGAATCGTCGTCTCCTGTGTGTTTTAGCACTACCTGTAATACAGTTATATACACATCAATATCATATTACAAATTTACTTTACGTATCAGATTCTTCGATCACATGACTGAATAAACATAACGAACCTCGCAATTCAATGGTGCCTCATAAGGGTCGTCGATTCCAGTGAAGCCTTTGATTTTGCCGGCACGTGCAAGCTTGTACAATCCCTTTGGATCTCTTGACTCGCACACAGAAAGAGGAACGTCCATGAACACCTAAAACAATTTAAACATGCGTTATATTCAATATACTACAAAAGCATATTATATACGAATTTATTAAAAAAAAAAAAAAAGATCGGATCGGATTCCATGATAAAGTAGTAAAAACGAGATAGGTATTACCTCGACGAAATCGCCCTCCGGTAACAAAGACCGGCAAGCGGCTCTGTCTATCCGGTACGGCGAAATCAAACTTGCTATGCAAATGACGCCCACGTCAGCAAAAAGCTTGGCGACCTCACCTGAAATTCAAGATCATCATTAATCATCATTTCATATTTTCATTACGCGTAAACAATAGTTACATTTTGTAATTTGTGAAAGAATTTGTTGTACCGATCCTGCGAATGTTTTCGGTACGGTCCTCTGCTTTGAAAGTGAGGTCACGGTTAAGGCCGTGACGGACATTGTCGCCGTCAAGTGTGTAAGTAAGTTTGCCTCTTTCAAACAATGCTTTGCTTAAGGCACAAGCAACAGTGCTTTTCCCTGAACCGCTGAGACCAGTGATCCAAATGACACAACCCTTTTGTTGAAGAAGCTGTTGTCGGTCGCATCTGCAGATCGAACTCTCGTGCCACACTATGTTCTCTGGCTTCTCTTCTCCGTTTATTCTTTCATCTTTCACTTTCGTTTCTGCCAAGGATCAGAAATTTTCAGAAAATGGCAAAACCCAGAAGCGATGATTATTGATTCGTGAAGAGTCTGCTATGTGAAGAAAATACCTGAAAGGGCGGGAAAATCGGCGGTGAGGGAAGCTTGAGCAGACACATTAACGGCGGAGATTGGATGAAAAGAAGCAGAATTCGCGACTAATTTGGTGTTCTCCGCCGCATTTGATGGCGCCGGCAGCCTGAGGAAACCGTATCGTGGCTGAGAATTGCCGCCGAGACCAGGGAGAGAACATAAAAACGACGGACGCGATGCTCTGATAGCTAATCCTTCCATCGAAGTTCACAGAGATTGCAGAGCCCGGACGGCGTTTGGGTTTAACAGATTTCTCTAATACCACACAAAAAGAAAATCAATGTATAAAAACAAATCTGTTAGTTTGAGAAAGCTGGATTAATTGAGAATATATATATATATAGAGAGAGAGAGAGAGACGTAAGTGGAGGAGAGGTCAGAGGAAGAAAACTGGTGGAAAAGAGAGCATATGGTACCAACAATTCATCCATAAAAAACACATGATCATATTAACATATTCCCTCATAAAAGAATCCAAAATCTACATTGAAGTGTTTTTTTTTGTAACCAGAGCTATTTACCATTAAGTAAAAATGATCAGATTGCAATATTTTAAGTTTGGTTTTGGTATGTGTGCATGTGTCACTGTTGGAGGCCAATCTTTTGGGAAATGACTATATGGCTTTTTCCATCCACCAACCTACCAATCCAGCAATGCTCCTTCAGAAACCATGTGATTTTTAAGCCTTACTATTTATATATTGCTTTATTCTTGTTATATCTTCCTCCTCCTATGCTTTATTACTAGAATTTTAGTTCTTGTTCAAATAAATTGTTTTGACTGTGTATACGAATAGAATCTAAGAGTTAAGAAAATATATTCTAAAATCATGTTTGACTCTTTCCAGTTGCAGTACTTGTTGTTAGTCTTGTTTGTGTCACAATTCTCCTATTTTTTTTATACAATGATGTTCGGAACAGTCAACAGTCAAAGCAGGCGACCGTTGACGGTTATCTTTGCTACCGGGCTTTCCACATTTGGGCTAATATTTGTATTGGGCCTCCTTATTTTTAAATCAATTACAGCGCCTAATAAATAGTTCGCATGCTTTCTCGGTTCTTCATCAACAAGAAAAAAAGCAACAACCTTCAGATTCCGAGAACTAATACTGTTCAATGATTCAAGCATGGCGTAAAACAAAATTGTAGAGCTTAAACAATCTAAAACCTTATCTGAATACATAAGAAATTTGTTTAAAAATACTGTTTCTTTGGAGAATGTAGTATCACAAGCTTGAAGTAATTGGTACCTGATGAATTTTGATCAGTAATCTCCATCGCCGGAAATGGAAACTGAGGAGACTCTATCTTCTTCCGGCAAAACGGACCAGTTAGGCGACTGTACGGCTCTCAGCCACAAGAAATCATCCACATTGGCCCAATTCCCAGTTTCCTCCTCCAAACCAGCCGTCTTCAAGTCTTCCTCGATCCCTTCGTAATCCAAACAGTAAGGCGCGAATCTGACGCCGTTGCAGTCTTCGACTATCGGACGACTCCTCACTCTCAGGTAGAAATCACTCTTCCTTGCGCAATGGATTCTGATCTGATGCGAGGCCAGAACGAGGACGCAATCTTCTACATCGTCGATCAGAATCGAACCAATCACCGGACCTGTGTATACACTGCAGTTTCTCAATCGGTGAAGGAAGAGAGCATTAACAGTTCCCATCAATTTTACTTGACATGAATCGAGATCTGACAATGTGAATTCTCCGATCGACGAGCCTTTGAAGCTTTTCACCAGAGTCTCACCGTGTTTGTTCCGAAATCCCGGAGAGTCGCGGACGGGGAGTTTCGGAGGTGAAATGACATTGAGTTTCTGGATCTCCGCGGGTTTGGATTCCGGCTTTCTAGAAGACGATTTGCTCTTGAACGAGAACTTCTTCTTCGGGATTAGCTCGCCGGAGAGGATTTCGAGACTCTGCTTGAGATCTGATACAGCTTTAAGAGAGGATCGGACCTCGTAGGAAGGAAGGAAATAGGAGTTCTCAGCGAGAAGCTTCTCGAGATTGTCAATCGCCAAGGAGATATCCGAGAGATCCGATTTAACCTTGGAAGAGTCCGCTGATGAAGAAGAGGCGAGTCGTGACTCGGCGATTCGAGATTCGACAGATCGCTTGGAATCGGCGAATCGGGAGAGGAAGGAGGAGGTCGAATCCAGCGTGGAAGAAGAAAAGGAAGAGTCATGTGAATCGGATTTTAGAGACTGGTGGCGAGCAGAGAGGCGTTCGAGCATGTCATGGTGCTTCTTCTGCAATGCCGGGTCAAGCGTTTCGGTGGCGAACCCTTCGTGGCTCGGTTCGTCGTCTTCCATCGTTTCTCTGTATTTGCGTCTTGCGACGGCGTTTACAAATCCAAACTCAGACCAAGAGAATACTCTAAACGTTGTCGTTTTACCAAGAGTATGTATAGAGTTTACTCCCTCCGTTTCAAATTAGTTGTCGTTTTGGCAAAATGTATCTGCAAATATTTGGACGTATCTGGACGTGTTTTGCATTGCAGATACGTCCAAATATTTGCAGATACATTTTGCCAAAACGACAACTAATTTGAAACGGAGGGAGTATTTAGTTTCAAAATTTCTGATTTTGGTTTGATCTTTTTTCTAAGATTAGTTTCCAGTTTAGTTTGGTTTTTGTACATTTGATGTTTAGTTTGCACCATGATCCGTGAAAAGAAGAAAAACATTATCTTATAACGTAGTTCTTGTTGAGTGATCATACAAATCTAAGAACTTGCCAAAAAAAACAAGCGATTTAGTTGAGTAACTGAGCTGGTTGTTCAAAGATTTGCTTCTTTGGTGGTGCACAGCAACAAATCCTGTTGCCTCTAAAAGTTTCACAGAATCCATTAGTGTAACCTTGCGATGCGCATTGCTGCTCGCAATTGTCAGTGCACGGTCCAACACAGAACACATCTTGACCGATTAGGCTTGCTTGTCCTGTAAAACAATAAATACTGTTTAGGAAAAAATGTAACATGTAAAACAAAAACCAAAATAATATGAATTAATTAATGTCGAAGCTAAGAAAAACATTAAAAAATGCTTAATTAACCTGTAATGACCAACAACAAAATAATGGCGATGGTACTAGCAACAACTGAAGAACTGATCTTGGCCATTTCTTTCCTGTTTCTGAAGTACTAGTATGTATAACGTGTTTTTTAATCAAAAAGAGGTATACTAACTTTCTTATGTTTTAGGTTGATGGATTATGTTTAGATGTAACAGGTCTATATATATTCAATTGGAAATGTGAATTCCTAAGAAAAAGAAAATAACGGATACGTTGAACCAGCTTATTCTTCTTGAAAAGATTTCTTGGACATTTGACTATAGATTTATCACCTAGTAATGAAAACTGACTATATGGAAAACATTGTATATTATCAAGTAAATTTGGTAGAAAAATTATTCGAATGATATAAGACCTTGACTATTTGTACGGAAGTAAATCATAAGAATTGAAAACACTAAACGAAAACACATGAATAGCAGTAAATCCATCGCTAACAGAAAAAATATGTCGCTACATGGACATGTTACAGCCATTGGTCCCATCCTTTGAATATGGACCATCCCGATCAAAAATTTAATTAATCGTCATATACAACAAATCAGTAACTCCGTCGCGTTTGTACAAACATAACTAAGATAGTATCTTCGTTGGATTAGCGACAAAAAGCATCGGAGTGACCACCGAGATTCCATTGGCTATCTAACAACCTATCGCTACCACTTATTCGTCATTATCTCCATTTACAGATAAGGCGATGATGTCTCGTTCTTATTTGGTGATGAATTGGCGAAAATGTATTGATATGTCATATGTGTGTGTATTAATGTGTTTGTTTATCAAAAAGATCACCTAGTACTTAGATTGTTGCATGTCTAAGCTCAACCATCCTAATCTCGTCAGCTTCTTGAGAGGACACAACTCTGCAACAAAGACATATGTATTATTCCTTCTATACGAGGAGTATGATAGTTTTAGCCTTATCTAAACAGACTGACATATGCAGTAGATATTGTTTTGTATTGATATTCAGTGTTGATATACGTTTGGATACAAAGTTTCTAGAAAATATTCTGACTTGTGTGTTCCTTTTTATCGATAAAACAAAAGCAATTACAACAATCAAAGCCAAATATTCAACAAATACAAACAACAACATAAACGATTGAATAGAAGGAAAAGGGGGCATATTTAAGTATATTATAAATCAACGTTCATTTGGTAAAGTTTAAATATTTGGAGGTGTTATATGCAATTTTGACTCGATGTTTTGATTGTCAATCTCTCTCTCAGCTTTCTTCCTTCGCTTTGCATTTAACAGAAAAAAAATAAAATAAACGAAAAGAAAAGAAAAAACTTTTATTTCGATCCTCTTCGCACTGAGAGGCTCCTCCGAAATCTGAATTATCCGATCGAATCGAAATCGAACAATCGCAGACGCGAAGAGGACAGTCACGCCTTGAGAATCTCCGGGTGAAATCGGACGAGCCAAGATCAGAAAAAACGGTGATACGGAGGCTAGTTCTAGGGCTGATGGGCGCCGCGGGCTCCAAACTCGAGAAAGCTCTCGGCGACCAGTTCCCTGAAGGAGAACGCTACTTCGGATTCGAGAATTTCGGCAACACTTGTTACTGCAACAGCGTTTTGCAGGTCCACCTCCTCCCTCTCTCTCCGTCTCTCTTATCTCTATCCTTTGGTTTACTGCCTGTGGATTTCCCCATCTCGAATTCGATATGTGCGACTCGTTTTTCCTCTGTCGATTTCTTCTGTGTTTGTTGAATTTTAGTGTGTTTCTATCCGAAATATGGACGATTTTTCCAACTAGAACCGTATCCGAGCTCAAATTCGTTTCAAAAGGTTAAATTTGATTTGGTTGCTTTGAGATTTCTCGAATTGTTAGCTTTATCGGATTTGAATTTGAAAGAAGAGGGTGTAAATCCTGTGAATCTATGCTTAGGAAGGCGTTAGGGTAGTGTAGTAAGAGCATTTAGAACTTGTTAAACTACCAGAGCTCGAATTTCTAATTGCAATTGTGTGTCTGCTCTATCGATTTCTCGATCTCTCTACGTGCTATGGATATGAACGTGTTCTCTTGACTGAAGAAAGGCGTTTGCTTATTAACGACAAGTGATCTTAATTCTCAAGTCTCAACTTAATAGTTTAACATTATTATTTCTGTGTGCAGGCTCTTTACTTCTGTGTTCCCTTTCGTGAACAATTGCTTGAATACTATACTAGTAATAAAAGTGTCGCCGATTCTGAAGAGAATCTTATGACCTGCTTGGCGGACTTATTCTCGCAGGTAATTTATGATATTTGCCTTTCTTTTTATATTTTTTGTAAGTTTTAGTTTCTCTTCTCCATTTCATGGTAGTTATCGTTTCGAACCTGTCTTAACTCAAGTGACCGATTGTCTTTGGCTGAACAGATTTCTCTTATGCAAACTTGGTTAACTTGTTTTCATTGTATCATGGTCTGCTCATTGTATTTCATAGATAAGTTCCCAGAAGAAGAAAACAGGTGTTATTGCACCTAAGCGATTTGTACAGAGGTTGAAGAAACAGAATGAGCTGTTCCGGAGTTATATGCACCAGGTACTCTCTCTCAACTTCTTCATCTTTTCAAGCGTTATGTTACAGAAAATGTGACTAAAGTTTTGACTGCGTTGGTGTGTTTATTCTCATGTAGGATGCACATGAGTTCCTGAATTATTTGCTGAATGAAGTTGTTGACATACTGGAGAAAGAGGCAAAAGCTACAAAAACTGAACATGAAACCTCATCGTCATCATCTCCCGAGAAGCTTGCAAATGGACCTAAAGCTCCTCAGGCAAATGGTGTGCATAAAGAGCCTATTGTTACTTGGGTGCACAATATCTTTCAAGTCAGTTCTCTTTAATGGAACAACTCACTTTTCCTTCTAAGGTGTGATTAATTAGTGCAATTTCTTGGCTAAACTTAAATTCTGGATATGTCCACAGGGCATACTTACCAACGAGACAAGGTGCCTGCGGTGCGAGACTGTGACAGCAAGAGACGAAACATTCCTAGATCTAAGCCTTGACATCGAACAAAACAGTTCAATAACCAGCTGTTTGAAAAACTTCAGCTCCACAGAGACACTTCACGCTGAAGACAAATTCTTCTGTGACAAATGCTGCAGGTAAACTGAATACTACTCTCTTTTCCTTTAGTGGCTGCTTTGTATATTTGAAGGTTACATAGTGTTAGTCCTTAATGTCTGTATCTGCAGCTTACAAGAAGCACAAAAGAGGATGAAGATAAAGAAACCGCCACACATCTTAGTCATCCATCTCAAACGATTCAAATACATTGAGCAGCTAGGCCGCTACAAGAAGCTCTCTTACCGAGTCGTCTTCCCTTTGGAGCTGAAACTAAGCAACACGGTGGAACCATACGCGGACGTGGAGTACTCTCTGTTTGCAGTGGTGGTCCATGTGGGAAGTGGACCAAACCATGGGCATTACGTTAGCCTTGTGAAGAGCCATAACCATTGGCTCTTCTTTGATGATGAGAACGTGGAGATGATTGAAGAATCAGCCGTGCAAACATTCTTTGGATCGTCTCAGGAGTATTCGAGCAACACTGATCATGGTTACATCTTGTTCTATGAGAGCCTTGGACCAACCAAGTAAAATCTGAGAAAGCAGAAAAATGAAGACTTTCGTCGTTTTTTCTTCTTTTAACTACTAGTAATACTAATGGTGGTATATGTTTGTGTCTTATAAGTCGACTCCATTGACAGTAACTTTTTTCTTCTCTTTTGGGCTCTGTTTCTCTCTCTCCCAAAGATACTTGGTGAGTTTTAAATTGGAAAAGTTTTAACTGAAATTTGTATACTTTTGAAAAGCCATGTGCAGTTTAATTGGCAAATTACTCCTTGTTTTTGAATTTTTTTCCGAACTATGAAAGACGAGGCAAAGCATAGAAAGAGGGTTACATGCAATGTTGAATTACAAACATTATTTTCACAACTAAACCTGAAAACAAAAATGCTATTATTGTTGCTGATAAGATGGGATCTAAAGTCTGTTACGGCCCATTAATATTAGTCGGGCCGATGATGAAATTAGGCACCGTGATAAAAGCACGTTGTCGTGAGAATATAAAGTTACTAGTAGTACAGTAGTACATGCACGTTTGTGCGGTGTGACGTTGTGGTTTTGTGTAGAAAATTTAAATCTAAATTTAAACCCGACAAAAACCATAATAAAAAAATTAAAAACCCAAATTTTTTAAATATGTCTAAACCCGAAATCAAAAAATCCCGAAAACCCTGAACTGAACAAAAAAAATCTGAAAACTTTTTCACCCGGAACCCGACCCAAATACCTAATCAAAATTTTAAAATACTCAAACTTTTTTAATATATCTAAACCCGAAAACCAGAAATCCAAAAAGCATATTTTATTTATTTGGAATTATAGTTAGATTATGTTAAGTTTTCTTTTTTGCAGATTTTTAAGAACTGGAAAATTGAAGTTTTCTAAACCATCGGTTTGTTTTAAGTTATTATTCTTGTATCCAAACAATTTTTTCCATTTATTTTTCTATCCAAATAGTTTTTATCTTATTTTTGTATCCAAACATTACAATGTACTAAATTGATCCTCATTAAATCTGTTGTCAAACACTTTCTCTTCATAATTAGATTGGTTTTTTGGTCATAAATTTTTCATGTATTTCTCAATTAATAATATAAAGATAAACAAAAATACAAAGAAATGAATAAATAATCCATAGATAGAGAGACAAAACTCTAAAGAGAAGAGTTCACGGGAGAAGTTGACGAAGAAGATACAGCCAGAAAAATTGAATAACCCGTGAGCCATGTCCTTTTCGTTATGTTGCTCTCTAGTCTCTACGTACGTTATCACATTGTAATTTTCCAAATTTGAAAGATACATGAATTTTGAGAACTCTTCCAAAACCATGATCATGTATATTGTTTTTAACAAAACAAAGAAAAAACCTATATTGCTGTTACGCAAAAAAGATCCAATAAAATTCCGAATGCTGGCCATGCGTATGGGAATTAAATGCATATGATATTTTACATTTCAGCATAAATAAATAAAATGCATATGGAGATGGGCGGATTTTATATATGCCTCTCGATTGTTGTATGTCATTTATCATATTGTTTCCCGAAAATATAGAAATGATTGTTTAGTGCATTACAAAAAGGGAGTAGAGGTTAATTATTATGGACAGCTCACAGATAGTAAATTGTAATTATGACTACTGTGAGTAGTGAGTAGTGACTACTAGTAGTATATTTTTTGTTTATCAACAAATACGCAGACGGAAAATTAAAAGCACAGACATGCATTTATTGTCAGAGAGTAGTTAAATGTCATTATGTTGATTCCGTATGGTAAAAAAAAACATTAAGAAATTTGTAATCAAGTTTAATATCACATGATCCAGGATTAAAAAGACAGAGGAGAAGCAAGTGAAAGGGTAATTTGGGAATTAAAAGAAAAGGGAGGCGAAGAAATAGGAATTGTCGTTATAATTGATGTCGCAATCAGATGAAGGCATTCACAGGCGAATCGCGCCGGGCCCGGAGGAGAGCGTTGTGAACTTGTTTCTCTTTTTCTCTCTCTCTCTCTCTTTCTCTCTCACTACTTCTTCTTCGTCTTCTTCTTCATTCTCTCTCTGAATCTGCCGTTACACGGAAGCTTCGTACGGACTCCACATGCATTGTACACATCACGAATCTTCAAGCTCCGTCTTCTTCCCCCTCTCGATAAACCGTTTCTAATCTCTCCATCGGTTAACGATTCTCTCTGCAATGGCCACTACTTGTGATTTCTTCGAAGAGGTTTGATTTTCGATTACTCCTTCTCTAGTGTCAGTTTCTGTTTATTGTTCTAATTGTTTCAATCGATTCTGGAGTTTTTTTTTTTGGAATCTAATATTCGATTTGGAATAGTAATGTATAAAATGAGACTTCTGGTTCTTCTGATTCGATTCTGGATTATTTTTTTCCCTTTGATTCTTCTATCCTCCTGCATTTGGCCATATCTTTCTTTAGATTGATACTAATCTAGGAACTGTTTAGTGTAGTCACTTAGTTATGTGAAGAGAAATAAGCATGATCGAATAAGAAACTCATCTTCTGCTTGATACCTTCTTCAAAATTTTGAATCTACTAGGGAAAATCAAAGAGTCACTCTCGGCTTGTACAGTGTTAGTGACTTAGTGAGTAGTGACACTGTAATTTATCATTTTTCTCTTATTGTGTTTTGGTCAATCTTAGTAACCTTCTTCTTGTGGTATCTTACATTGTGTGAATATCTTTGACACAAGAATCTGATATATATAATGCAACAGGGAAAGCAGCAATTCGGAAGTGTTGCAGATGGGAATGGTAACGGGAACGCACCAGTCAAGTTCCCAAGCTTCAAGTCATCTAAGCCTAGCTTCAGCGATGCTGGCAAACATAGTGTCATAGGTAAAGCGATGGTGGCAAACATAGTATCACTATCATGATAAAACTGCAGAAACATACTAATGAAGTAATGATGTGACCCTTCTGCGTTTTGCAATGCAGATGTTTTTCCTCTACTTGGCAAGGATGCTTCTTTCCCTTCAAAAGAAGACCGTGGCATCGATACTTCACTCGTGAGTTGTTATCAGTTTTACAAAGGCCTTTGATTTTTTCTCTGAAACTAAGATATACTTAGAGTAGAAAATGGTCATATCATCTGTTTGCATTAGTTATCACTCAAATCTCCATTACACTTTGAAAGATGGGTGAAATGTTAATGAGTTTAGAAGCATTGTGGCTGTTGTTTGATTAAGTCCTAAAAAACTCTGCCATTTTGTATAGGTCAAAGACGTGTGTACTATCTCAGTCCTACCTGATGAAGGAAACACAATCCCGCAATGTACCTCTCAGTTCACTCTCTTGAGCTTCGTCAAGGCTCTCCTTCCGTCTAAAAGTCAGATGCTGATCGACGCGCAGCTGAATTGTCAGAAAACGCAGAACCGCATCAATGTGCTACTGGGAGGCACAGATTCGTACCAGTCATGCGTCGTGGACATAAATGTCGAGAAAGGGAATGGTGGTGAGACCCATGACGAACTTGTTGGGAGTGTCAAATCATCTGAGAGTGTAGTAAGTAAAGTTCTCTCTATTTTTGTCAATAACATCTGAAATTGTGTCACTCACTACTATATCTTTTGACAGCATATGCAGAAGATATTACAGAGACAAGCAAGCATGAGCACTGGTAAGTAACAATACTTGGGTGAAAAAAAGTTTCAGGGTTTAAGATTTGTTATGTGTATAATGTATATGTTGCAGATAAAGCGATCTCTGAGAGATGCCATGAAGCACCAACGAACAGATGGAGAAGATACAAGCGTGCAGCTTCATTTGACTCAAGGAAGATCGTCATCCTATTCTCCATCTTGTAAGTATATATATTCATACCTCCACCTACTTAATGCGAATAGAACTTGGATTGATTTATACGCATTATTGAATCAAATGTGTAATAAATATCTTGGATATGCAGATCAAGTGTGGGGACATTGATATTAATCTACCTGACACTTAGAGTGAGGCAAAACGGTGACAACAGCTTCAATCATATGTAAAAGTGTAACATCCATCTCTCTTTTTAGTCTCTTTCTCCTCTCCTTCTTTGCTTTTGAAATCTGTTTTCCCAAAACTCGTCTTTTGTTCCGAGTTTCATAATGTAGTCAACAACACTTTGCTCTGTGAATAAACACTTTATCTTCGTATCAAAATGCAATAATTGCCGCAAGTACTTGAGCCGAATGTAAATAATTTGTTTTTATTTTTATGCAAAACCTTAAAAATTAAAACAATAAATAAAAGCCCTCATGATTTACATTTCCCACAACAACAGAGAGAGAGAAACAACAAAATATTTTCGCTAGCCCCCACCAAACACTCAAGTCAAGAGATGTCTTCCGATTCCACCGCCAAAGAGCAGCCACCGGCGAATGCGGAGACATGTCCGACATCGTTTCCGATATCGTCGTTGCCAGAGGCGGTGGCGTTGAGCTGCCTAGCTCGAGTCTCGAGATCGGACTACAAAGCATTATCTCTCGTCTCCAAGAGACACCGATCTTTGGTGGTTTCATCCGAGTTCTACAAGGCGCGAGTGCTATTAGGTCGCACCGAAGAGTGCCTCTACGTATGCTTAACCTCCAAGCTTAAACCAACACCAAGGTGGTGCTTCCTTCGCCGTGAACGTAACAAAACCCTAGAAGACGCCATTAAAACCGTGAATCGCCTCGTCCGGATCCCTAATTACCCCTCTCAGCCTTGAAAGTCTTCAGCTTTCGTGTCGCTGGATTGGGGGATTTACGTAATCGGTGGGTTGATAAACAACGGTCGCACTCGCACGTCCGAAGTCATGCTCCTGGACTGTCGCACAAACTCGTGGCACAGCGTACCTTCCATGGGAGTGGCTCGAGCTTCCGCAGCTGCCGGAGTCGTCGACGGGAAGGTTTACGTGTTCGGAGGGTGCGAGGAGACGGATTCGTCCAAGTGGGCAGAGGTATTCGACCCAAAGACTCAAACTTGGGACACTTTGGTGCCAATGCCTGATCGTGAGGAAGGTGATAACTTGATCCGCGAGACCATGGTGAAGGATGGCAAGGTTTACGCAGTGAGTCAGAGCAATGGAAGCTTCTACTACTCGCCGAGGGAAGGCAAATGGGGAAGAGAGGAGAAGAAGAAGGAGGAGGAGACAGAGATGGGAAGTGACTGTTCTAGCGTGAGTGTGAGTGTGACGGATGAGAAACTGTTATACGGTAGTGATGGTTTCGGGAATGTGTTTTGGCGTGAGACAGAGGAAACAGCGTGGAAGGAAGTGAGGGGTTTGATGACTAATGGAGGATTGAGGGGTATGTTTGGTAAAATGAAGGCTATTATAAAGCAAAGATACGAATGTGAATGTTGCAGGGCAAAGAAGCCTAAGGGGAAGGTGGGCAATTTTGGTGGCAACATTGTGGTGTTTTGGCTTGGGGAAACGGAGGAGCTTTGTGCTGAGATTTCCTTGGAGAGACGAGAGGAGGACGGTGAGGTTTGGGGCACCATTGAGTGGTCGCAAGTTGTCTCCACACCTGCTCATCTTCCCTTTCCTGGTCATGCGCTCAAGCTTTTGTGTTCTGCTTCCGTCCATGTCTAACATCAAATCAGGATCATTGTCTTGTAGAGACTAGAGAGTAGAGAGTATCAATTCCTTTCTCTGGTTGCATCATCGTTCTAGTTTGTAATAATGTTTTCATTTTCTGTTTCTCTGACAATGTCTAAGAAGATGAAAAACTCACAAAAACTTTCTTGATCCTCTTTTTTGTTATCTTTGCTTCACAAGTTTCTTAAAACGTGATAAGTGTTTTTAGTTTTGAATCAACACGAACAGCCTCCACCACCACCACCTCCTTGTTGCTCACCTTGTGATGAGCTCGAAGTGTTCTTTAGGTTCACATCAACCATGTCCTCTGATCTTGTTGCCGAATATGAATCCATCCCTGGTAATGCTGCTGCTATCTTCCGGAACAAAGCCTGAGATAGATCATCACTCATGTTTTGTCAGATACATCAAACAACTAAAGACACCTACTCAAGTTGTTATTAAAGAGTTTTGATACCTTAATGTTGAAATTTTCTTTGGCGCTGGTCTCAATGAACATGACACCATGCTCTTTACCCTTATCTTCCCCTTCACTGATCGATACTTGCCTGTTTTCCATTACGAGAAAAGCCTGTTATGATTGAGCTATATAAACCAATGGAAGCTGATTTTGCCTTTTGTTTGTTTACCTTTTGTCAACGAGATCAGTTTTGTTGCCAACGAGAACAATAATAACGTCGCCTAAACCTCTTTCTCTGTGAACATCATCAATCCATTTCGACACATTCTGAAACGTTTGCCTATCTGCAAATTTGTATCAACACAAAAAAGTATTGAATACAAAACACACACACACACATACAAAGTATAGAGAAAAGGGCTCACTCACTGGCTACATCATATACAACAATGGCAACAGAAGAATCTCTGATGTAACTTGGGATTAGACTCCTGAATCTTTCTTGTCCTGCCGTATCCCTTCATTCAATCAACAAAATCAGATATGTTCAACTCTGGTATTGTTGAAATAAGACATAACGCATTTAAGAGGTCTATTGTTCTCACCATAGCTGCAGACGGACCGTTCGATCTTCGAGGTACATTGTTTTTGACAGAAAATCAATCCCAATGGTAGGCTGAAGCAAAAACACAATCAACGCTTAATGTCTAACAACAAGACCAGATTGATCACTCAAGGATCGTGGAAAAACCAAGTGACCAACAACGGAAAGTTTAACCAATCAGAGAGATGAAATCGAAATACAGAGCAGAATTTCGAATCAGAGATCAATCAATAAACGTGGAACAAAACCGAAGCAAATAATTTCAGATCAATCAACAAAGAATATGAATCAATGATCGAAGGAAGATTGTGATTTGATTTGTATACCTGGTAAGTGGTGTCGAATTTGTCATACATGAAACGGGTGATGATGCTGGTTTTCCCGACGGATTGATCACCTAAGAACACCAGCTTGAACTTGGCCAACGGAGAAACCCCCGCCATTTTCGGAGCTCAGAGTAAGAAGGAAACAAAGTAAGAAAGACAACAAAAAAAGTGATTAAGATCCGAGATTGGAGCAGATTCAAAGTTTTCTTCTTTAGCTCTTTCTCCAAGGAAGAGAATGCGAGCACGACGACGATGACTCGGTCGCACACAAAGCTCAAATTCCTTTCGCCACGCGCCAATATTTTGCAACACGGTAGAAAATTCAACGATTTCCGCGGACTATTTATATCGTGCGCGTGAATACAACTCTCCTTGCGTGCGAGTTCGTATCTCTTTACTATATCCTCTCTGTATTTTAATGGATTTTTTTTTATGATGAGATATGATATGATTTCTAATTTCTGTATCTAACATGATTGAAGTAAATCTCTTTTTAATTTGTGTACAGTCGAATCATCTTCGTCCATTCAGATTTAGACAAATTTTATGATCAAATTCTTTATGATCTGTTGCATCATGATCATGTATATCCTAAATGTGTAAAAACAAATAATTTATCAATCTTTTAAATATTTCTTCGATTTTGATTTAGTACTAACTACTAAAGAACAACACAAGACATGTTCTGTTTGCTTGTCTAGAAAATGTTATAAGAAATAGAAACTGATCAAGTAATAAAAAGAGTACTAGTATCCCACCAAGTGGTGAGAATTTCTGGGATGATCAGAGATGGCAACAATGGCTAACAGTAGTGAATTGTTATAATTTACAACGTGACTGAACAGAAACCCAATCAACAGAGAAATGCTTTGAATCTTGCGAGCTAAAATGTGTTCCATTATCATAAGTAGAGAAAGTTTAGAAACATTAATAAGATTTATTTGCCAAAAGAGCTTAAACGATTCAGATTCAAGATCAAGCTCGTCTCTTTCCACAGAAACTTTCAAGCAACGGAAACAAAATCCATAATCTGAGATAGCTAACGAACACACAAACCCAGACAATAATTTGCTCATAAACCCTAATTGGGGAGTTAGAAAAAACCCTTACTTTCCACCAAATCTCATGTTGCTCCAAGGAAACTTCGCTCCCGCCGTAGCCGCAGCTCTCGCCGGCGAAGTCGACCTATCACCGCCACGACGACTTTTCCCATTTCTATAACCGCCGACTTCCCTCTTCTCCTTCTGATCAAGCCAGTGACTCTTCTTATCATCCTCTTCCTCCACAAAGCTAGATCCTTTCACTTTACTCTTCCTATCCTCCTCGATAAACTTCACCGGGAACAAATCCCTGGAAATCGACAATGGGTTTTTGAGCGTGACGTAAGCCTTCTTGTAGTCCGCCTTCGCTATCAACAACCCTCCACGCTTCTTCTTCTTCCCGTCCATGTTAAGCGTGTTCACCTTCTCGATCTCGAATCCGTAGAGAGTCTCCAGGACTCGCTTGATCTCAATCTTCGTCGCGGAAGGGATCGTTTTCAGCGCGAATTCGTGGATGTTCGTCAGCTTCGTCGGCATCAGAAGCTTGATCGGAAGATTCGCGAAATGAACCACTCGTCCTCCCAATCGACTCCCCATTTCTCGATCGACGATTTCAGATTTGAATCGGAAAGTTTCTTCTTCTCAGATAGGTCAAATTGCAAATGAAAGGGTTTTTCGTTCTTCCCTAAAATCTTCCTTACATATTCATTAATGGGCCTAAACGAAATTAATGGGCCGAGTGACTATATTTATCGGGAATAAATCCTTAGATGGGCCGAAATAGCGTTATAGGCAGTTTTATTTTGATATTTCAGTCTCTATAACACATCATTACAACCAAAAAGATTCCGGATTACAAGTGTGTAACTGAGATTAGTTAAGAAAACAATCTTACAACCATTACTACTACACATTTACAAAAGAGAAGCTTTATCTTTTAAAAGTCATATCCATGTTCTTCATCACCAACATCACCACCTGCAAATACCAGACTCCGTTGTTTTGCTGAGAGCTAGAATCTCATCATACTTTGAGCCATACACAAATCCCCATAGCTGCAAAAGGTTGAAAGAAAAATTGTATTTTTAAAGGCTTTTCTTTTCCAGTTTCTAAAGGAGGGGGTTTGAAGTTAACTAAACTACCTCCACTTCCTTGACATCAAAGTCCTGAGTGTTTGCGAGACAAGTGTTCCCGTATGTCTCTGAGTAAGCACTTGATCCACTTAGCCTAAAAGAACACAATGAATCAGTCGTTTGCAGTTTGTTGCAATATGAAGAGTTTGGTAAGGAAAACTTACAGCTCACTGTCTAGATAGAGAGCAAACCGTCCACCACCGCCGAGAGCTAGAAAGTCCTTTGAGCATAAAGTGTAGAACCTATTTGCGCCTGCTCAGAGTGCAAATCATAATCACAAGTGAATAAGAGAAAGAGTCCAACAAGTTCTATATTGCTCTAAGCAATGCAGCATAATGAAAGTACCTGTGGGACGGTATATTGTGGGTTGTCCAGACTTATCTGTGAAAACAAACGTACTGTTTGTCCCCTGACAACACAAAAAACCCAAAGACGAAGCATGTCAATTAGAGATTAAAATAAATAAAACGGAATGTAACAAGGATTAGATTTTGGAAACAAACCTGATACTTCTTATCAGTTGGTATCAAAGGTGCCTCGACAAGACCACCAAAAACTGAACCTTTTCTGTCTCCAACAACCTGAAACAGCGTTTGTTACCATACAACTCCATAAAAGGTCCATACTTTACTAAATGAAACAACATTTTGAGTCAGAAATTTTACCAGTAAGCTAAGACCAGGCCAGAGTAGGCTTTTCCTGTACAGCGTTGATAGTGATATTCCGTGCCTCCATGTACTGAAAAAACCATAACACAGATCAAACCAAATGATCATACAAATCGATAGAATTAGAAATTAAACTCTAAAATTCTTTGAGTGTGTACTGTTCTCTCACCTATAAAGCAATATCCATTTCCTGCCTTGGACAAGCGCAGGAAGTGAAGAATAAAGAGAACGTCTTGACAGGTCCGATAGAAGCAAAGAGGGCTCTGAGATTTCAGGTAGAATTACTTTCACTACGATTGTTGCTTCCTCTTTAACATTACTGTTCTGGATCGGCTTCATTTCCAAGCCATCAAATTCAGTCTCTTCATCATCCGGTTTCACATCAGATATTCCCTTTCGTTCCTTGGCCCCCGGAAACTTAACAGACTGGTAAAAGTTCTTCAAATGCTGCTTATACTTTGACAACAAGCTCTTCTTAGCACCACCAACAACAGTCGTAATCTCCTTCATTTTTCTATTCACTGATGATGATGATGTGTCGCTTGTTCCTGCCTCAGAATCTTCTTCTTCTTCTTCCTCTACTCCTTCCTCTTCTTCTTCTTCTTCTTCTTCTTCTTCTTCTTCTTCTTCTTCTTCTTTGTCGTCGTCTTGATCCTTATTGGTTTTCTTGTCTTTGGGATCTGAGGACAGCAGTGAGCCAAGGAATGCAGAGAAAGAAGAAGTGTCTGGTTCGTCTACCAAATGCTTAGGCTTTTCTTCAGTGATGGACTCTAGTTGATTTCTCGTAGACTCAGCTTCCTCATCCTAAGAGAACATTTGAAAATTGACCATACGTAATCAGGAAAATAGAAAGAAAGCAAGCTCATTGAATGATCACACAAACTGAATTCCCCACCTACAAAATTACTGAATTTTTCAAGCAACTAAGCATTAACGCATTTTCAATTCCACACGAAAGCCAAAAACCACAAAATTCCCAGAAGATACCAAAAATCGTCAAGAACAAAGATAGAACCTTTATTTAGAAAACACAACAAAGAAAAAAGATGAAAACTTTGGGTACCGGAAGAGGAGGAGCAGAGGAGGGTTTATCAGAGATGGGATTAAAAAGACCGGTGGTGAGATCGGTGACAAAGTGCACTGCTTTGCTTCTGAAAGATTTGTGCTTCCCCATTGATCTCCTCTCCTTGTGCCCTTTTTAAAGTATCCTATTTTTAGTGAAATTAAAGACTTGCAGATTCCACAAGATCCTTTTGACAAATCCTACACCACAGATTGAGTCAGCTCTCTTTCTCTCTCTCTCTCTCTGTTTCTGTATTAGCTTCCGATCATTTACCTAAACAAGCCATTAATAGATCAACTGGAAACAAATAGTTCTAAAGAAGAAAATCATCTCTCTCTTATACTTTTCTTTTTCTCTCTATCTTATCCAATAAATTTTCCCTCTGGAAATTGTCTTGACAAACTTTTTCTTTATTTTCCTCTCGATTTATGAAATGTTTTTGAGACAGCCTAACTAAAAATGAAGATTATTCGGTAGACTGCGGGTGAGAGACGGTGACGAGGAAAGGCAACAAAGTAGACTTCACGCTTTTATTTATCTACATATTAGTATATCAAATTTAACAGTATCTCTATGAACAATAAAGACTCCATGGCCCAATGGATAAGGCGCTGGTCTACGAAACCAGAGACTCTGGGTTCGATCCCCAGTGGAGTCGCTCGTTCAATCATTTTTTTATACGACGTCGTATCAAGTAATAAAACGATGACGTAGCATGCAGCCTACATGACAACGTTGTATCAGTTTTCAAGCAAAAGCGCCAAGAGAAAAAGGAAGCAGAAACAGTTCCACAGAGATGATTCAAGATAAGTTCGAAATAACCAAAAGGTTAAAAACGATCCATACAAAGAACTCTCTTCAAGCGTATTGGACATTGGCGCAACGAAACTAGATTCTAAAGAACATGAAAACGTGAGAGATGTGAGCAGCGTGGTGGTTAAAATACCAAACAGCACCGGAGTCCTTAGTCCTTAGACCAATGAAATGCTGCTCTCACCGCCGGGAGGCTTCCTGACACCGCCAAAATAGTCCCGGGACTCTGACTTCCCGTCTGAAAATATATTGTTTCCGCTCATCTCCCGGAGTTTAGCTGAGCTCAGCTGCTTATCCGCAGTGCCAGGCGACTCATCTCCTTTGAAAATACCATTCCCAGTGAGTTCCTGAAACTTCTGTTCATGTATCTTCTTTGACGTCTTCACAACTGGTTCTTCACTGAATAGTATGTTGCTTTGACCTCCTGCTGGCTGCTCAAAGAAGATTAGGTTATGTTCTTCATTCAGTTTCCTTTTTCAAAGCAATGCCAAGATTGATTGATTTACTTACATTGGAGACTTTAACAGAAGTGCGTAAGTTCCTCGGAGCAGGCTCTCCCATGTCTCGGTTGCCTCTGGCTTCCTGTTGTGCAGCAGCCAAGGTTCGAGTCTGAATCTCGGGTGGAGGTCCAAAGATGTCGTGACCGCTGATCTCTTCGATCTTGGCACTTGATATCTGCTTCTTGCTCTTTAGCTCTGCCTCGGTTAGCAAGTTCCCACTCAGCTCTCTCTGCTTTGCAACTTCTGTTAAAGTGGTTGGCTTCTTCGGGGATACATTCCCGTCTGCGCTGAAAGATATCTGACTCACTCCATTCAGCGTTTGCTGCAAAACTCAAGAGCACCATTACATTACATAAACAACTCATTCCGGTTTAGACTTTTGACACATAAGAAGACGAGTAGTAAAGTTACCTGATAGTAACGAAGTCCAGTCTTTGGATCAGTAGCATCGGATTCAGCTCCGCTCTTTGCCTTGTCAGAAAATATGCCACTACCGGTCATCTCTTTTAGCTTGTACCCTGAGCAATTCTTCCTGTTCAAAGAAACAACCTTTAAAACTTCAACATCTTGAAACCGTCAAAGTAGAGTAACAAAAATAGATAAACAAAATGAAGCAACTGAATTAGCTAAGGAAAGATTTCACTAAGCAACTGAATTAGCTGTGGAAAGGTTTCACTATATAAATTTGAAAGCTATGGAAGATTAGCAGAGAAAGATCTATTCATTAGACAATGGGATGAACAATAACACTATAGAGAACAGTAGTGGTTTGACATGTAATGGTGGGGCTTTGATGAACAAAGAATGTGATAAAAATATATAAAAATTAGATTCTCAGAAAAGCCAAAAGCATTTGACCAATCCCTTTCATTAGTTCATCAATCTAATAATATTACAACTGACTTCATACAAAGAAACCATTTTGTGAAAAATGCAATCACTTTCAGAATCAAAAAAAATTGCATTTCTAAATACAAAAAATCAAAATCAGGGGTTAAAGAAACAAATCCAGATACTAGATCTGCTAACGAAATCAAGTTGAAAAAATGAATGTAAATAAGGATTCGCATGAGAGATGAGATCAATTGGATCTTTACAGCTTATTGAGAGACTGAGCTTCCTCGTCTGTGATCTGACTACCGCCGAGGACCTTGCTGATTCCATCGGACGGCTGAAAATGAAAGATGAAAGAACAAAGCTTGAGCTTCTGTTGTCGATGGAAAGATAAAGCGACATTGGTCGAAGCAAAAACGCACCTGGTGAGAACGAGCGGCGGAAGCGGTTGAGTGGTGAGGAGGAGGGGTTTCCGACCAGGAAAGCAGATCGGCGGTGGAAGTGTGTGGGTTTCTCACCGGCGTGCTTCTCTCCATATTTCTCTGTCTTAACCTTTTTTGTTTTCTCTTTCTTCCGATTGGAGCTTTTGAGCTAAGGTCGAGAGAGAGTGAAAGGCTTTCACTTACTTCAGTGGAAGAGATATTTTGTTTTTTTTCTCTTCTTTTTAACTTAAAATGAAAACGAAAAAAAAATAGTTATTTATTTTGGGATTAGATGAGTGTAAAAACTAAAAAGCTTTGCAAATTTGGTATTTTTATCAACAAAATTTACAGCAAAAAGTAATTGTTACTTGTTAATCCTTGCACAGCAGAAATAGGAATTTATAAAAATCTTGATAAGCCGAACATTCTAATTCTAATCCTAATCATTATCCAAATCCAAATCCAAATCCAAATTGAGTAAAGAAGTCTACCAAAAAGTTTCTTACATGAAAAATGTATACACGTAAGCATCTATATGAGATCTGGTGTGCGGAGATCTCCTTGAAGAGAGCAAGGAGGCGATGTTCGGGCTAATATTCAAGGTTTTACAAACTGTTTCTGTAACTCTCTAGTTTGTTGTTTTAGCTTCACCGATAGGTTACGTACAAAACAAGTAACGACCCATTCCAAACCTAACTAAAGACGTATTAATTTCAAGTGCTTTCTCTTATTAAAACTAAACGATCAAGTAATCCCAACAAACACAAGATCAAGTTCCATGGAAATTGGAAATAAAACTGTACATTATTTTAGGAGTAAATGACTATGTTCTCTGTTTCTTCAAGCTAAACACCATACTCCATGGGAGAACTCAAAATGCTCCTCCAATTCAATCATATACCTATTCTTATATAAATCTAGAATCCAATTTTCAGAAAGCAGCAACGTCGAGGCATTCTCTTCCGCTTCCGCTCCTTGAAACTACATACCATGTATAGCTTGGATATGGTCTAAATGTCTGATGGGCTTTAGCTTTATTGTTGGTGTTTTTAACTTATATAATCGACCTTCTTATGTGTTTTGGTAAGTTTACTCTGTTGTCTGTTCGATCGAACGGAGCTCCCAGTTTCCTTCTCCATCAATCAGCCTTAGCTCCAAGGAGTGGAATGGGATCAAAGCCGGACGCTGAGGTTTGTGACAAGAGTAGTCAGATTTTTGGCAGAGAGTTTTGATGAGGTTGCGTGGTTCTGAGTGTATGGAAAAGAAAAAAGAGCTTACTTGTGATGAGGTTATGAAAGTGACACCCATGTCTCTTGCAACCCTATAGAGCTGTTCCTCAACATCAACACTCGTCGCGCTGCAGTACATAAACAAGGTTAGCTGATTAAAACTACATGAAAAAGAAAAGTAGACGAGAAGACTGATCATTTACTTGGTGCATTCATCAAGGATTCCAAACTTTGGCCTGTGAAAGAATAAACGAGCCTACAATACGAAACGACTCAGATTATTCACGCGAGTCATAGAGCTATATCTGGTTGTTGCTTTACAAGAGACATAGTAGTGACATACCATGCCAAGTCTTTGTTGCTCTCCAAGAGATAATATGTCTTCCCAGTTGGTAGTCGCATCCCAACCACTATCGTCTCTTTCCAAAAGATAAACTAACCGAACATTCTCCAGGATTGTTTTCAAATGAACGTCCAGAATGCTTCCAGCATCTGTTGAGCTTTCTCCTGTTACTTACAACAACATTCCATGAGTATGAGAAAGAGCAAGATCAGATCACTTCTACTTCAGGTCTTGTATGGCGGTAACAGATAAGTTTCTCCACAGATCAGTTATATTTGCGTGTGGGGAGGATTGATTTGAGAACCAAATCGACCTTTTGAAGTAAATGATTTTTTGGGACTTACCATTGGTGTACAACTTCGCTGCCCGTTGCTTTGCTTCTTCTTTAGATAGAGGGTATATGATTTGATCTCTCAGTGTCCCTAAACATGTATAAGGTCGCTGCGGGACAAAAAATATGCCATTCCCTGACCCAAGTTCTTTGATATCCAATGATGGTTTGGCAAGACTTCCACATACAGTGGGCCATATATCTCTAAGGACTCTAAATACAGAGGTCTTTCCACTACCATTGGGACCTGAAAGTTTTGCCAGTGTTAGCTCTGGGCTCATGCAAATAAGTTCAATGATACGAAGATTAGTTCACCAACCTGTGACGAGCAGGCTTTTCCCTGAAACTATTTCGCATGACAACTTGCTAGCCATCAATTTCTGAGCAGGGGTAATGATATCCACCTCCGAAAAGGAAATTTGATCTTGAGAATCCAAACGACTTGTGTGATTTTGTGCGGTAACACCTGAAAATAGTTGGAAAAAACAACTATGATCAACCCAAGAACAGACATTTAAAATCACGGTCAACACTGTGACGCCTTGTCAAAATGTGAACGTATATATACTGTAGTACCTGACTGAGAAGCATCCAAAAACTCATCGAGCTCAAAAATTCTGTTGATACCACCAGAGAGCTCCAGGAACTTCTTGTGTAGTTCAAGAATATCGCCAAACGCCATGAAGCTTTGAGAGACAACAGAAGCTAGATACCGCAATGCATGTGCCAATTCACCTGGTATCAAAGACATCAAGCAAGAAAGTGTTACATAGATAACATGTACATACTTGATTGGTTGACGTTAATCAAGTGATTTACTAGACAAGTACTATTGGGGAAAAGGTGGTGACTGAGCTTCACCTTGAGTTGACACAAGTGCTCTATCTCCTTTGTGTTCTAGGGCATACAACAAACTCAATCCCCAAGTCACATTATTGGGAAGTTGCTTTGTCACAAAATCATCAAGTATGCCGTACACCCATTTCTTCCTCAGGAGCATGAGAGAGTGGTCCAGTAGTGCCCTGAATTTTGTGTCGACCATCTGCTCCATGAAAAACAAAACACATGTATAAGTAAAACGTTACGAAGAATCCTTGATAGCTTTCACTTCTTGTAGCTCTGCATCAAAATAGCTAGCCCAAAATCCTACAGTTATAGGGAAGTCAAGACACTTACAGCTTTTTCTCGAGCTCCACCTCCAAAGAATGCAATGGATTCAGCATGAGTATTCAGCCTCTCGTGCATAAACCTACATAGTCAGGAAGAAGTTGGTTATAGTCGCCATGACGCAATCATCTGCAAAATGGAAGAAACGGAAAAGAAAAAAAAACTTACCTAAACTTCCCCTCAAGCTGCTGCTCTTCACCGGCTAGATCACCAAAATCGGGAGCAACACGTCTCAGAAAGCCCAGACCAAGTAACATATATGTGTAAAGTATGGCAACTCCCCTCTGACCAGTCAGTAGCTTCATCCTCCAGGTGAACCTTCGATATTTTGTTTTTGTATAATTATAATATAAACCAAGAACCATGAAACAAATATCAGAAAAACTATCAAACAAAATGTACTTACCAGAGAATATCAACCGATGGTTTTACCATTCCAGTCAGAAGTCCAGACAAGTCAGAGGTTAGCTTTTCCAGGTCTCGAGTGAGTCTCTGGTCTGCGTCAATACTATTGCCTGACATGTGGAAAACCTGAAAAGATTTGAACCCAATGAGATCAACTTACAAGAAAAGAACAAACAACCAGCCTCTATGAGCCTTATAGATTTGGACTGACCTTGTAAAACGCATTATTTCTCAAGTAATTTCGTAGTAGATGTTGGGTCAAACGAATCCTCCACCCTAAAGCTAGCCTTTGCGTTAAATGCCTGAAAAAATGTAACGAAAACCACATCAGCAAGGGGTTTCTTATATGTAACTAATAATCTAACAAAAACCAATACTATAGCTTGCTTTTTATCTAGTGCATAGAAAGGAAACATTACCTTAATGAAGGAGCAATGACAGAAGATGCGCCACTTTGGAGAACACTCATACCAATCAAACGAACAAAGGCTGCCTTATCTTGCTCTAAGACATACTTCACAGTGGTCCCTGCAAAAATCATATGTGGTTGCTTGAAATGAAGCCCTTTCAATAATAATGATTAGGTAACAAAACGGAGTATGTGTACCATTCAAAGAGGCTATTCGGTCAGAGATCAGTGTTCTTGAGACAACAAGGCAAGCAACAGCAAGCAGTTGTACTCCTTGTTTGTCAAATAGAGTGGGTATCTGAAACGTAACAATGAAGTGGTCAGCTATTCTGAGAGGTACAAATATCAACTCATTAGCTTTAATGCGGGAGGAATAAGTTAGCCAAGTGGGAACAAATGTGTTGGGCCTAAGGAAGCTAAAGAAATGCACTGAAATGCAAAGCTGGAGGGAATGGAATAGAAAGAAGTTTATATATGCATTCAGATGAGGAATGCATACGTATTTTTTTCTATGTAAACAAAAAAATGCCACAAGTAGTTTCATTAAAATTCACACTAGTAACTCAAACTCACCAATACGTTTAACATTGAAGCTACTCTTGATGGCAGTGCCCTTGGGGATGTTTGTGGTTGAGGAAAACGAGGCAGCACAACACTTTTATCAACAAAAGGTGATTTTGCAATTAACTGTGTCGAGTACGACTGAGCCTTTGAATTGGTGGAGCCAGATTCCTACATAGCACCAAGTAACAAGGTTATAACGACCAAAAGAGCACCCCTCAATGAAGATTAAAAAATTGATGTCATAAGCTTCTGTAGACCTTTCTAGCTGCAGCAAAAGCTCGTTGTACAACCATTGCATCATTTTGCCGTTTTGTATCTGAACTTTTCACTGAATCAATTCCAGCGTCCGTCAGAAGTGCAGAGTCATCCCTGAAGGTTTGGTTATTTTCAATAAGTACATACAAAATATAAAACTTTGATAATCCTCACAAACATGGTTAAGAAACACTTCCAACCTCTTGTAGTGAACACTCCATCCCCCTTCTCCGTCTAATGACAGAACAACATCATGGAATGCAACAAGGGCTGGACGATGGGAGATTGTTATGCAAGAAGTTCCCATAGCTCGAACCTTAGCAGCGAAACGTTCTTCCATATCAGTTGTTACAGCACTTGTGCATTCATCAAGAATTGCAAATTTGGGTTTGTGGTAGAACAGTCTCGCCA